GATGTTGTGCTGCTGGAACCCACTGATTGCCACCTTGGCTTGGCAGCGTCGACCAACTTGCCTTTGGACAAGCCCTACCAGGTACCAGGTACAACAATAGCATGATTCTTAAGACCTTTCAATAAAAATTTCAATCTTCCCATGAAGTCTATGTAAACGATGCTCATTTCAACTTGATCTCTCTCTTTCCGCTACTTCTAAGCCTCAACCTTTTTGGGACCACTCAGGGGCACTCTTGATCTTGTAGAGACGATCAAACCGAAGTATCCACCCAAAATAGCCATAGACACTGTGGCAAAAAAGCGACAACGGCAAGATGAGAAACATAATTTATTCGAAATTCTCGCTACGAGATTCTGCAAACTCACATTGGTGGTCTTCAGGAAAGACGTCTCTGACGGTCTTGTCTATCGTAGTTTTGCGTAGTATTTTGTAGTGTTGGGTTTGTTGAGGAAAGGCATAATAACATAACCACCATCAGGCACAAAAGAGAAACACAGAGGAATTGTTAGGACTCATTAATGAACCACTAGAATCATACATTTGAACGAATAGACGTGTCCTACATACTTTTTTATGTGGCCAACAGGGCATGGATGTTGTGCTGCTGGAACCCACTGATTGCCACCTTGGCTTGGCAGCGTCGACCAACTTGCCTTTGGACAAGCCCTACCAGGTACCAGGTACAACAATAGCATGATTCTTAAGACCTTTCAATAAAAATTTCAATCTTCCCATGAAGTCTATGTAAACGATGCTCATTTCAACTTGAATGCAGAAGGAGGCAAGATAATCGTGACGGAATCGGGCTATCTGGATGTTGTAGTCGCATTTCTTTGTTGGTGTGAAAGGGATGGATTAGACTATATTACTAGTAATGCGAGGCTGGTTGTTCAAGTGCACGCTTGTTTTATCGTGATCTCGCAAGCACCATTCTAGCGGTAAAGGGCTCAGCAGTGTGGCCTCATCATGCAATGATGTTGGTTGTTGGCGGCTGGGGCTGGAACTGGAACATGCTGTGTGAGCAAGGCCGAAGCACACCGAGAGCCCTGTGCCTTGCTCTGAGTTAGCTGGGCGATGATGCGAGCTATATTCTAGGCTGTAGCTATAGAGGCAAATCCATTGCCCGGCAGTTCTTTGCTTAGGCTAGCTACTCACAGGCCATCCAGTTTGGGTTGCTCGTCGCGGTATCACCAAACAGGCCGCCCGGGGAAGCAGTCAGAATCCGTAGAGCATCCACCAGTCGAACGAGATCCACTCAGGTCTCCATTTTCAAGCCGCATGGGATCATAAGATACATCCAGTCCCTGCTTGTCCACATTGGCTGATGGAATCACATCCGCCACCGAAAGTTTGAATTGTTACTGCAGCAACCATTTCCAGAATTTCCTGCGACCGGGTTGCTAGTAGGTGGAGGGGTTGCTGGTGGTAGCTTGTGGTGCGACCGGAGGTGCTACTTTAGTGTTGGCTGTGGAGTGGAATTGTGAATGCTTACGTGGGTGATTTGGAGTTACGGTGGGCAAGGGCAGGTCCCTGGCTGGGCGTTTGAGTAGGCGATGCAGTGCATGGACAGTTTGAATCTCAGATCGTGCTGTTGGGAGTGGGTGAGTAGTTGGAAACAGCTATCTCACCTGTCGTGGGAGTTGCGTGACCTGTCGGGAATGGCTTTGCTCGGCGGGGTGGGTGGATGGATGTCGCTGGTGATACAATATTGCGGTCTAAAAGCTGGGATACTGGGATTCGGGTTGGGCACGTGGTTTGGGATCGATTGGTTTGCACCAAGAGCAGGGTTTCCGCAGAGATGTTTGTAGCAGCAAATAGGCGGAAACATGACTTTCATTACAGACACCGCCGTAGCTCTTCGAATTCACCATCGCACCGCCTTGCCCCTCCTCTAAAGGAACCCCACTATGAGCTAAAATACGCCCCTGGTAGTGTGGCGAGGAGGGATAGAAGCCCTAGGAGAACCAACGGAACCCGGCATTTCGGAAAGCCTTTAGCCGTGAAGTCGGCACAGGTGCTGCAGCAAACAGTGTGGACGGGGATCACGTCTATATGGATATGGTTCCATTCTGGCTTGTGAATATTCTTGTCACGCCTGCGGTGATGGTTCAGGCTTGCTCCTGCCTGGTTTGGTGGTCCGTTCGCCCCTTCCTGCATCGGGACAGTTGGATATCCATTGTTCCACATGATCCTTCTGTTACCGCAGCCAGGATCTTGATGGACACCTCGATGGTGTTCAACTATTCTCACATGGAAACACATCCAGACAGCCCCAATCTCAAGCTGGCAATGTTTGTGTTCCCTGATATGATGCTCATCAAAACGATTCCAAATGGACTGTGACATTGAGGCTTCAACTTGTGTTGGACAAGACTGGCGGGAACCCCCCTCGGATCTACAAGGCATTGCTTGATGACAGTCCCGTCACTCACAGTCAAGTGTGTAGTCTTTTGTCACCTGCCACATTCGCCTTCATGCCCATGACAACTGGGCTGTGAATATGGAATCATCTTCTGGTATGGGATTCTGGGATACCTTGGACAGCGCCATTATGATCATGTACAATCACCTTGGCTATGGCCAGACTCACCGGTACTTTGGCTGTACAAATGGTTGGGTGTCATGTCACGGGAACAAGACCCGCTTCTATTGCAACAGGCTTTTGATCACAATTGTGCCATGGGAGTACCTCGCCATCACAATGTGACAGAGCTTGTACTAGTACCATATAACCGCGTCATCAAGTTTATAGTGAAGCTGCGCCCTATCTTCTTGAAGAACTTTGTATACAACCAACGCAATGCCAATATGTTTCCTGGAATTGATGGAGAAGCCCTCTTTGTACGCACCTTCATACATTCATTGGCCCACACCTTCTTTGAGCAGATTATTGGCGACGTGTTGTGGTTGGACAGCAATGACACTGAGTTTGGAGCCATGGCAGATGTGGCCAAGTTTGCCCGTTGCTGCTATATGGAGGACCTGCATTTGCTTCCTTTCTCTCCCAAGATGAAGGATCGAAAGGGCAATCCTTTCTATCAAAGTGTCTACAAAGCCACCCACGAGGTAGATCTAGAGCTTGCCGATTACATTGACACCACAATAGTAAAATCGACAAAGATAACTAGTAAACCCTGTCATCGGTGGGTGAGACGTCACTTCCTTGTGGTTCACTGTTGGTCTTGACAAGGATCGACCACAAGAGGTCGAGACGACGTGATGCCCTTTGGTTCTCCTGTAGCTGCCGATCTATCTTGTTACGTATCGTAGCGGAATGGCTATGGGGGAGCTCATTCGTCTGTCAAGGTGTGTGTACCGGTACCCATACGATCGAGGTCACGTCCATAAGGTAGACTACCAGGAAAACACGGAGAGGGTCAAGCCATGCAGAAAGATGAGCCAATGGTCAAAGGTCAAAGAGGTAGGGATCTGAAATTGTGAATGGGATGCTCTGCATCTCCGCCAAAGGTACCATTAACTAAAACCACGACCATTGAATTAGAGTGGTACAACGCGAATACCAATACAGTATGAAGCTTCTATAGTCCAGAACCGCTTTCAACGAAGGAACGAAGGAATTGTTGCACCGATTCTGCAGACCACCCAATTCTGCAGAATCAATCCAGGCTCTTTTTCAATCCAGGCTGTTCTTTTCAATGACCTGGATTTTGAATCTCAGGGCTTGCTCTCTCACTCTGCCAGGCGGCCATCTTTGGAGGCAACTCCCTCCACACAAAAAATCCACCAACGCTTCTTCCCATCAACAACAGCAAAAAAACACCGACGCCTCTCCAATCTGTAATTCAGATGACAATTACTCACCCAATACATAACCAATGGATAATCTGAGCATAGCTACTACTGTCTACTTTGCGTTGGCTACACAGCCATTACCACGATTCTATTTACTGACCACTTCTTGGAGCATTAGTAGTGTCAGCAGTCTTGGGACCCAACAATCAACCGCCGACCAGTGGACTCACCCAGCAATGATGGCACTACCGACGGACTACCACTACTGCTACCCACCACCACCAACAAATGACAACCCTACTACTACTACTACAACAACGACAACAACAACAACAACAACTACTCCCTTGATTGCTGCGCTATTTTGCCTTGAAGTCAGTGCCTACTTCGGTAGGGGCAAGACTCTTGGCAACAACAGCTAGCATTATCCTACTGACAAGACTCTTGGCAACAACAGCTAGCATTATCCTACTGACGCTACGAACGCCACTACGGACGGCTGCGCTATTTTGCCTTGAAGTCAGTGCCTACTTCGGTAGGGGCAAGACTCTTGGCAACAACAGCTAGCATTATCCTACGGACGCTACCGACGCCACTACCGACCGACTACCACTACCAACCAACCACAACCAAACTGACAGCTGTGTTTGACGCTGCCTTCGGGCTACCGGAGGCTATTTCATTTTTCTTCTTCTATCAACGAAACCACAACAACCGAAATGAATAAGTCCAGTGTTTGATGCCGCCTTCGGGCTCCAGTGTTTGATGCCGCCTTCGGGCTAGGCCGGAGGCTATGCCATTTTATTTTTCTCCCATCATGGTCTCCTTTTAAAAGATCCCATTTCTGTTCTCTGCTACCATTGTGAACTCCTTTTTAATTAAATCGAATCTGGTGTTCTTCATTTGCTGTGGTGGCTGCATCTTCAGGAATGTACCCATAATTTTGTTTTCACATTGCCAACATCGACTACCTTACTGTGACTACCTTACTGTACTCGAATGGTATCTTGACAATTTCTCATTTTAGTCAGCACAGCTGCATACATAATTTAGCCTGGACCGTACATAAAATATGCAACGGGCGTCAGTTACAAAAGAACATGGCACAAAGAAGATCCATTCACAATCAACATGGCAACCAGGATGACGATGCCGATACTGTGCTACGATACTGTGATATATCTCTGGTTACGATACTTTATGTTACTACTATCAATACTTTTGAATGCCATTTGAGTTGCGGATCAGCAGTTGAAAGGGTTGTCGCAGAATCCGCCGCATCCACAAGTACTACTGCAGCTGATCTCCAATTTCTTGCAGCCACAGCCTTTGGAACAGCCTTTTTTACATTTGCATTTGCGTGGGGCAGCTCTTTCCCGCTCGTACAGTTTTTGATGTGCAGCCACCAGCCCAATGGAAGGATACACGCTTCGATCTAAGACACCTCTGGAAGCTCTAACATCGGTTTGGAGTTTTGCCAATTCTGGCATGACGGCAACAGCATCATCAGGGAGGACCAGATATTGATTGGCTGGAATAATATATGGCTTGTTGGATTGCTTCGTAACAATACCAACTGAAGTGATAATTTGAACTCCACCGGATGGTGTCCATTTGAAGACAATACCAGGTACGCCATTGCTTTGATGAATATCATTGCTATGCACTTTGACCTTGACAGCCGTCCCCAGCTGGATGTCAGGTAGAGAAGCCTTGTACCTCTTTTTCATTGCTTCAGCTTGGTCTTTCTGACGTTTCGTTCGCTGTTGTTGACATTCTTGTCTACGTAGATCCCTCCCTGCTGAGCTTACCATAATTTCTTTTTGAGTATTGGCCACGATCGGACTTGGTTTTCCATCTAATGACAGAGTCTCTACTATATGTGTTGTGGGGGAGTGGATGGGCCCATCCGGACTATTCAGTGGCAACTGAAAGCTTGGAATTGGTTTTTGGTATCGATTGGGGTTTCTTTCCTTCTTTTTGGACTCTCGAATTCTCATATGAAGCCCCCTTGGCCCTGCGACGGCACTCCATGCCGACACCATGCCTTTGTATTTTTGGACTATTGCAGGCCGAATTGTAGTGACATCTTTGATAGCATTTGCTTTGTACGTCTCCAAGAGAGCAACCCCATCCTGGTCTTTGGAGTTGTATATTTGAGCCCACACGTTCGCACAGGCCAAAAAGCCGCACTCAGTTGTGTTTCCAGTTTGATCGACTGCATCACTAGCTGTGATGCAGTACCAATGGCGATCACTTCGATGTAAGTCTGCTCCAGCTGTTACCTCAAAAGAACCCCTGAGGTCACTGTAGCTAATTTTCAAAGATCGCAATCCAGGTCGAATACTGTCACCGCCCGTGATAGCAAAGACAAAAAGCAACAACCAGTCACCCCAAACAGATTCACCTCCAAAAAAGCCATCCATGATAATCAACGTTCTCTTCTTTGGAATAGCTACCAGAACAGCGAAGTGATTGTTCTGATACGCGATCGTGTAGATTATGGATGATGTATGATCTCTGCTTAGCGAAGGTAAGTCCAGAGATCGCAGTCTGTTTAGCTTGTCGTCCATGGATGTCATTCTTGCTAGTTCCTTCACAACTGGTGTTTGTCGTAGTACCAAATGGTGAACTCGTTTTGGATGACATGTGTGATGCAGGAGATTACAGAAAGATACCACCTCAGCATATTCCATCCAGTGACAAGATTGGCGGTCAGCTAGCTGTTTCCAATACGAATCTTCTCCAATCATTACCATTGCTCCAACATTACTCAGCGGACAGGATTGGCATGGACCTATAGTTCCAATCAAGGTTTTCACTTTTGTGCGAAAGGTTGGCACAATAGTTCTTTCATGTGGCGGTTTGAGTTTTTCCTTCTCCCAGCAACCAGCGTGGTATCCTTCGAACTTTGATAAGGCATCTTCAATACTGAGGCGACAGCTTTTACCTGCTTCGGGTTGTTTTGTTGGGGACAGTACCTTCACCTCACTACTTTCATATGATGTGGCTGGCTTTTGGTTTGGTGGTGTTTCGATTGGATCCTCCCTCTGCCTCAGTGTGATGGGTGATGACTCCAATTGCAATGGCTCCATATCAAACGAATCTTCGGTGGCTAGTAAATCTTCCTGCGATGTCATGCTGGTGGCGGCCTTGGCCGTCAATATCCCTTCCTGTTGTTTCGAGATGGGTACTGCTGAAAATGAAGGACGTGGGTGGAGTTTTTTGTTTCCGCTTATGTGCTCAGGCCAAGCTACGGGGTCTGGTTCCGTCTTGGATTCCTTTGTGTTGGTTGGAGCATGGGTTTTGCTTGTCATACTAGCCACCAACGATGCAAGTGGCAGATCTGCTTCTGCTGACTTCTTCAAGGGCGCTTCGTTCTCTGTTTCTGTGGGAATGAAAATGAATCGGTTTTTATCAGTAATACTGCTTGCCAATCCATCTTCAATATGCAATGCAACTTCCTTAAATCGAGGCGAAATAACTTCTCCCAAATTCAGCATATCTACAACGGTTCGGCATTGACGAATGGTGTTAACATCACACGTAATGTCGTTGTGAAAGTTGCGTCCGAATACAATTCCATAAGGTGAGAGATTTTGGGTTCGAGTTGTAATTCTTGAGTTCATTGTTGCTTGAAGCCTGGCAAAAGCTGAACCCAGTTGGCATTTGTTCCTGCTTGACGTCCTTCCTCTTCTATCAGTGCCAGCAGTGGCTTCAGAATACCATTGTGTCTTTCCACTGAGCCTTGGTCTGTTGGGCAGCGAGGTCTTCCAGTGACTGGCAACAAGTTTGGATTGAGCATCTTCAATACTCACACACCTGTTCGGCTGTGAACTCAGTGCCATTATCGGTATGGAAAATTCTTGGATAACAACAATAGCAAAGTATTTGTCCAGTTCATGGACAACATATTGTACTTGGCTTCTTTTTTGGGAATGGCCGCAAGATGCACAAACTGAGAGAAGTGATCTTTGACAACAAGGAGATACCTCATGGTCACTCCGTGAATATTGTTTGCTGGCCGCTTGGTCATGTTAATGAGATCGGCTTGAAAGCGATCACGCCAATCACCCGACACAATGGGCTTCCTTGCCCCATCGGGTTTGGGAATCCGAGGCTTGGTTGTATTGGAAATTGGGTTCAATGAATGAACTGTTGCACTTGCTCCAATGTCACATTCCAATAAGTCTGACAAAGAATACGATGGATTGGATCTGGTGCTTTATTATTTGATCCCATTGCATGAGCAGCAGCAATGCATCAAATATTTCCAGCTGTGGAAGAGCAATCTTGGTAGGTACGTCAGCAGGACCATCTTGAAGTTGCGCGTCTCCTGTACAGTGTCATAACGTTCTAACTGTTTTTTCTCTCCTTGGTTATCAGGTAAATTGATAGTAGTAACTCGGTATCTCTGGATGAATCGATATCCTTTGCCTCCTTGTCCTTTCTGCTTCATGATAGCTGTTTTGGCTTTTTTACTTTTGGCGGCATGCCAACTTTCCACGAAATCAACAATATCCTTCCACTGGTTTTGGTCAAGCTCTTTACTACGAGACTTATCCTTTGGTTCCTTCGAGGTTCTTTTGCAAGCAGTTGCATCGTCATTGTAGCCAGGTGGGAGGTTTTCAGATTCGATACCAAAGGTTAGAAAGTTGAAGAGAGCACGGTACACTTTTTTGCTATCTTCTGAGCCAGAGCCAGCAACAGGAACTTGACTCTCAATAGCAGTTGCACCAGCAAGTTCACTGCCCCTTATGGCTACATTTCCATCTTCTGAGCCGCCACCATCACCACCACCACACGTAAGACGCTCCACAAACTTGTCAGTTACAACAAAAGGCATTTTTCAAAGCAAATAGATTTAGATCCAATCTCTTGAATTTGTGGTAATTGAAAGGATAATGCTACAAGCTTTCATTCAGAGATCCCGATCGCAAAACTAGCAAGATTAACTAAGATAGCATGCAGTTTTGCTTCTTGTTTCATGAGTAAATTGTGATTACCTATGGCTGATCAGGCGTAGCAAAGCCACAACATGTGGTGTCTTTACTGGGTTCAGGACTTCAATGGCCTATGACTCGTAATTCTGCAGAAAAATAAAATTCTGCAGAATTGCATAAGAAAAAAATTAAAATTCTGCAGAATTTGTTTTTCTGCAGATATTTTCTCTGAATTCTGCAGAATTTTGGGATTCTGCAGAATTGTTATAACAGATCGTTCTTCTCATTGTCTCCGGCATCCAACCAACTGCACCCACCTTGATTTTCTTTTGAAAGAAGTCCATCTCACAATCTCAAAAGAAACAACCATGGCAATGGAGACATACGACGATGAATCTGTTGGTAGCCATAGAAACGATGACAAGAAGGCGAATCAAGACCTAGTAGAAGAGCGCAAAAAGTTGGCTCAGAAGGAGAATGAAGCTGTTCGGTGGCTCCGTATTGTGGTCTTTGTGGTGTTGTTGGTGACTGCGGCGCTCGTGTCGGTGGGTGTGTACGTGTTGCTTCGCAAGGACCAAAAAGATGACTTTGAACATGACTACCAGGCCAATGCGCTCAAGATCATCGAGTCCTTTCATCAGTCTGTGGAGAGGTACTTGGAAGCTTTGGACTCGCTCTCCATTGCCTACACCAATCATGCCTTTGTGACCGGATCTGTCTTTCCCAATGTGACTCTGCCTGATTTTGAAGTCCGAGGCGCCAACACGCGTATTTTGGGAGGAGCACCAGTCATCAACTTTTATCCATTGATCACAGACGAAACGCGTCCAGGTTGGGAAGCTTATGTGGGCGAGACCATTGGTCATTACCCACAGTGCATGGATGCCGACACGGAACAACGCCTCATTCAAGATGCAATTTTGGGACTGGACTATCAGGTGGTCGAATTCGAAGATCCTTCGCCACTCCCACTCACCATCAAGGACATTCAGGCGGATGGTTCCACACCCCCAGCCGAACCAGGAGCAGGCCCTTATTTGCCCATTTGGCAGATGACTCCTGCCATTCCTCTTCATTCCGTTCTGTTGGTGAATCTCTTGACACACCCCTCTGGAAAGGGCGCCTATAATGCCACTGTGAACACGGCTCAAGCAGTGATCGAATTCGCCTCCAACCTCAACGAAGAGCACCTGGGGCAAACAGGTTTTGCTTATCAGCTGTTTCTGTCGCATGGACAGTTTCGAGCCGACTTTGATGAGTTTATCGGGGATCCCACCAGTTCCGTGGGATACCCTGTCTTTGACTCGTTCAATGTCAAAACTCGCAAGGTTGTGGGCATCTTGGCGACGAATTTCTACTGGATCTTGTACTTTAAGGACATTTTGCCGTCGAATGCTCGAGGAATCATTTGCGTCATTGAAAACAATCACAATCAGTCCTTTTCGTACCGTATTGATGGTCGAGAAGCCGTTTACTTGGGAGATGGCGATCTACATGACACAAAGTTCGACTACCTGGAGGTTTCTGCGGACATAACCGAATACATTACCCAGAAGAAAGGGCCACAGACCAGGTCCTATACGTCAGTGGATTTGAATGGAGACTATTCACGCTACTTTCTCCGTGTCTATCCTTCTCAAGAAACAGAGGATCAGTTTATTGACAACCAGCCAGTGCTGATGCTGGTGCTTGTGATTTGTGTTTTTGCCTTTACGAGGTAAGTTGATCGTTTCAGTCTGTGGTGTATTACTTCCTCTTTTTTACATGCACTCATTTTGAGTTCTGGTTTTGGCAATCAGTTTTGTATTCGTTGTCTATGACTGGGTAATTGCCCGCAGGCAGAGAATTGTCATGGAGAGAGCTTTGGCATCAGGTGCAATTGTGGTAAGAGCGAGGTTTGTCTGCTTTGTTGATATTCATGAATCTAGAATACTGGCTGATTCCCTTTCGTGTTGTTGCTATTTTCATGACAGTCAAGCCTATTTCCTTCTACTGTAAGAGACCAAATCTACGAAGAAACTACCAAGAAACACATCAAAAAGCCAGAGCAAAGCAACTGGAAGCTTCAGACTATCAGGGAAAGCCAAGCTAGTAATGGAGATGGAGGCACTGATGGTCCCAGTCAAGACAACAGGCATATTGCTCAAGTCTACCAGGAAACTACAATCATGTTTGCGGACTTGGCAGGTAAGAGGCTGGACTTTTTTGTCGAGGATGCAAAAGTGTATACTGTCCTTACCATACTATCCCCGTATTTATACCCTAGGTTTTACCCAGTGGAGCAGTACGAGGACACCCACAGAGGTGTTTGACCTGTTGGAAGCAATCTACAATGAGTTTGACCACCTGGCCAAAAAGAAGAAAGTGTTTAAAGTCGAAACTGTGGGGGATTGGTAAGTTGTTCTAAGCGGATGCATGCTGGTTTTGTTCTCAAGCTCCTTACACTTTTCCACAATCATTGACTGTAGTTATGTGGCTGTCACAGGCATTCCCCTGCCGCAGGAGGACCACGCAGTTATTATGGCCAAGTTTGCCAACAGCTGCATGCAAAAGATGGACGAGGTTACAAGCAGCCTCGTTGACAAGTTGGGAGCTGATACAACGGACTTGAAGCTTCGGGGAGGTCTGCATAGTGGTCCTGTGACAGGAGGTGTGCTCCGTGGAGAGAAGGGGCGATTTCAGGTATGCCGAAACAACAGCAACACGTTCCCACGTCACCTTGCTGATAATATCTCATCTTTGCTTCTTGCTGTCTCCTCCAACTCTCCCAGCTCTTTGGTGACACCATGGTAAATTTCCCTCAAATGTGCTCCTGTTCCTGCCAGGATTTGTTCGTTTTCTATTGGGCACCAGTTGGTCTTACTGAACTGTAATATTGCTGCTATCACAGAACACTGCCAGCAGGATGGAATCCAATGGATTGAAGGGTCGAATTCAAGTGAGCCGGTCTACATTTGATTGTCTGACTGCGAAGGGCAAGTCAACCTGGTTGACACCCCGAGAAGGAAAGGTCCATGCAAAGGGAAAGGGTGAAATGCAAACATACTGGCTGCAGTTACCAACAACTGGTATGGAAACAATGTCAACAGTTTCAAGCGACTATGGGTTTGCTAAAAAGATTGGGGAGTCAGCGCACAAGGATGAGAGCACCACTCAAAGCAGCCCCGATCAAACCAATAGTTCAGAAAGCGCCGCAAACCAAGTCTCAGTCGATGTGTGAGAGAGGAGTGAATGGAAAGCAACGATTAGGAAAATGATCTTCGATGGCTTCGAACCCACCAGAGCTAGTTACATGCGTTAGGTATTAGTACATCAAATGACCTCTATTTAGAGCATCAAACAATAATTTCGTATCTACCGTACTTCATGTTCATGTTCCAAGCCATACCTGCTGCTGTAGCTCCATCCTACTAGTCTACTTTCTAGTATTGGTGCAGATCCATACAGTCTAGTGCAAAACTGTTGGCATCTTGCATGTGCTGGTACATAGAAACAGCGTGAAAGTGGTGTGAGAGAATTAGTAAAGGGACGACCAGAATCACTGAAGGAACAACCTGTTCACCGAGGAAGCACTGGTAGACAAACATTGCATTGCTCTTGGTTACAACCACAAAGATTCTTTTGTGGGCTAGCTATAGTTGGGTTCATGCTTTTTTAAAACCCTCCCTTTGTTTTAAATAATGGAAGGGTCCAGATCATGAAGTCCGCACTTGATATCTTTTTAGCATCTCTACTGGCTTTAGAGCGACTCCATCACCTTTTTCCATCGCCCATCGCCTACGGGTGTATTGTAAATACTATGCAAGACTCCATCACCTTTTTCCATCGCCCATCGCACATACTGTAAATACTATGCAAGTATGCATGCAGTAATAGTTACAGTCGCACTGGTACCAGTCCTTACATGTGATGGAGATGTAAAGATCTTTGACGCGATTGCACAGGAAAACTTCTCTTTTGCCTTTCCTGGAAGGCGCCTGGTTGGCGATGGTTAGTCGCGTTATAAGCAAAAGTCGTTATAAAGTCGCTTTAAAGTCGCGAAAGTCGCTTTTAAAGTCGCGATAAAATCGCTGTAAAGTCACGGTAAAGTCGTGAACCACTTTAAAGTCGCGCTAAAAGTCGCGGTAAAGTCGTTGTAAAATACAGGGTTTTGCACAGTAAAATCGCGCAGAAGTCGCGGTATTCGCAAAAGTCGTGGTAATAGTCGCGGTAAAGTCGCGGTGGAGTCGTGGTGAAGTCGCTAACGACTATAAAGTCGCGAAAGAACGCGACGTTTAGCGATTTTCGCGACTTTCAAGAAAACACGACTTCATTACGTCACCAGGTACCTTCCTGGTGGACTCACAGCACGGCGTGATTTCTCTTTCATGCTTGTGGGTTTGTTCCACAACATCCACAACCCTTCCTTCCCAACATCAATTGCTAAGTCAAGAAACATTGCTAACCATGGCTGTCGATATGGATACCTACATGAAAACATGGGCCTGGGCCTCCGCCGTTCTGGTGATGAAGATGATGATCACTCATCTTCTGGTCGTTCGCGTGCGCGTAAGTACAGATGATTGCAAGTTGTATGGCGTGTCAAGTCCAGGGTTCTTCGTTTGACTACATGTAACTACGTACTGTAATGCCCACGTTATTCTATTCAATTCAATTCTTTCCAGATTGCCAACGAATTGAAGGGCAAGTTTGGAGAAGAGGAAACCACTCCGGAAGCGCAACTCGATCAGTGGCATGGCAGATGGTTGTATCCAATCCTTTACTACTCCATGGGTAGTTTCGCCGGCCCCTACCGCACCATGAACGACATGGTTCGTTTCCAATGCATGGCACGCAACGCTTGCGAAAATGAAGCTCAATTCCTATTGGTAGCCTATGCTTGGACTCTGGTGGACGAAATGCCGGATTGGGCTCCCCAAGCACTCGTGATTTTTGTCTACAGTCGCATTTTGCATTTTGTCATTTACGCCTTTGTCCGAATTCAACCTTGGAGAGCCGTGGTGTGGACGGTCGGCGTTGTGATTAATATGGCTATTGCTGGAAATATCCTAATGCAAGTCCCTATGGGTGGAGTGACAAAATCGGAGCTGTAATTCTGTACTGAATGCTACTTGTAATGAGTAGTTTCTCAAATGGAGCGAGACCTCGCGGCACAAGAAGAAATCTGCTCTAGAAGAGCAAATACCGGTACATGCACCTGCAACAAAAATGTATTTTATGAAGCAAAGCCATGCACAGCCATTACCGTGTACTGTCAAAATAATCGTTAGTTAAGGCCCCTTGTCCCACAGCTGCGTTGTACGACCAGTTTCGAACGAAGCCATTCATGCGGTCTTTGATCAATTTGATCAATGATGAACCTGTTCCAAGCCAATACCATACCTGCTGCTGTAGCTCCATCATACTACTTTTCTAGCTAGTACTGGTACATGTGCATGCACATGATGTAGGTCCATGCATTCTACCTTTTAAAACTGTTTGCATCTTGCATGTGCTGGTATGGTTCTGGTAGCAACCGGGGTGAAAGTGATGTTGAGAATTAGTGAAGGGATGACCTGAATCGAATCACTGAAGGACCAACCTGCTCACTGAGGAAGTACTGGTAGACAGTCATTGCATTGCTCTTGGTAAAACCACAAAGATTCTTTTGTGGGATAGCCACAAGGGTTCACCTTTTTAAAACCATGCTTTGGCAGCACCCTCTACATGTACTACCTAGCTAGCTGGCTTTTCAGTTTGTGTTGATCTGCTGATCACGGAATGGTCGCAGATACAGTTCAATGAACTCCACTTAGATACATTTAGCATCTCTACTGGCTTGCTGACTCCATCCACCCATCCACCCCTGGTTTGTCGCCTGCTACATGTACGGTCAAAGCACTTGATCCTGCTTCAATAGACGATGATGCTTTCCCGGCTTTTTGCCAATACCATTAGATGCCGTCGACGGCACAGTCTGGCATTGATGGATCATGCAGTGCACAGGTTCTCGAATGATTCGCCATCACCGCCTGACGAGGGGGCCAAAACTACCAAGACCACCAAGCGGCGCCGATTTCGTCGTATCGAAGAAGTGCCTTCCTATCGAGACTTTGTGCACCGACAAACCGTGTTGACGTTGTATCGCCAATTCCTTAGAACAGTTCGGCCGCTTTCAGATCGAAAGGAGCTTACGTCGCAAATCAAGAAAGAGTTTAGCGCCATGAAGAACGAGGGCGATGCCTGGAACCGGAAAAGGGCTCTCAACGAAGGACAACGACGCCTCAAGGATTTGCAAGCAACTGTCAGTATCTCTGCCACATTTGGTGCGTCATCACAGCAGTATGACGACAGCAGTAGTGACTCGGATCAGAAGGTCGGCAAAGGCTGGCCATGGGAAAGGAATGATTGAGCCCAAGCTCACATCAACCCTAGAGTATTCGCTCTGCACACATTCAGCAAACTGTTTAGCTAACTGAAGACTAATTGAGTTCCAACTTGGGCCTCTACAATGGCAACTTCAAAGGCTCTTGCTAGCCAGAAGACATACCGGTAGTGCTACCGTCACTTTTCGAGGTGAGGCTGGTACGGTACAACTGCAATGATGCAATTCCTGAATGAGCCTCTTTCCAGGCTTGCACTCATCAATCAATCAAACTTTACCAATAGAGAGTAGCGACTAGTAGAATAGATCTACCTAGCTAGTTATTGTTTGTATGGTTACGGGTTTGAAGAATCACCGGTGGCTTCCGCCGAATCACCTCCTCGATTGATAATATTCTCATCGACCCAAGGTGCCAGTGCCAGAGCTGCCCCAAATCGCAGTGGGACCAGCGCTCGGGCGATGTTGGCGCCCGCAAAGATAAATGCGAGGACTGCCGTTCTGTCGGTATTGTCGTTCACAACATCAGGCCAGTGTCCAGTGGACTGATACAAGGCAGTGGATGCCACTGGAAATGCCACAATCCAAAAGGCCAATTCCGTCAGCACATAGGCCACGGTTCCAGCAACTCCGTACTTTTTAATGTCATCCATGCTCAAACTTGGTTTGTTCTCGCCGTCCCCCTTCATAAAGTCAAAAATGGAATCTTCCTCACTCTCCTTGGACAGGTTTGCGTATTGGTAGGCGGTAATTGCGGGGAATCCCACAATCATTGCACCGGCAACAAAGCTGTTGGGTTCAAAGGGTAGATCCAACCCGAGGGATCCATACTTGACGGCATACGACGTGAGCACCGTCAATGCGACCAACTTGGCCGCCAGCACGGCGTTGGTTTCGGTTGCTTCGGATAGTTCCAATGGCATGGCGGAAATTCCTTCCGAGACCAATCCCGAAGGACTCGTATTGGATTTGGGAAAGGGGTTGAGATCGGAGAGTGTCCATCCGTTGCTCCTCGCAATTCGAAATGCAGCAATCATGCAGGTAATGTTTCCCAACAAGGTTAGTCCTGCTTGCGATGTGACCAAGAACTGCAGAGATGGATCATTGTAGAACCAGTGATATGTGCAGGCGCAGATACCCGATGCATGCAATGGCAACATGCCCCATGTGAGTCCTTTCCACTTTTCATTGCCAGTCGTTTCGGAATACTTCCAGACGAGACTCATGGCAAATAGATATTCAAAGACGGATGAAAAGTGAATCATCCAGGTGGGGATCGATAGTGCATTTTCTGGTTCTGGATGTGTGACCCATGGCAACGAGGCAGTCCAAGTGGTTGGCAAATCCCCGGCTCCAAAGAGAAAGGCGGAATGTGCTTCAAAGCCAATGTTGGGTCCCAATGCACAAAAGACGGCAAAGACAGCGAAGGCACCCAGAGCAATATTACGGTACTTTCCCATGGGTTCAATATCGGCTTTTGGGGTTGTCATGGCTTCTTTGAATCCAAGTACCTTGAGTATATAGTATGGGTTAGTTTGTGAAAGCAGAATCAAAGATACATATGAGTTTGCAGGGATAACAAGCAAGCAAATCAATCCATCAGATAGATCGAGTTGCACATTTTTCTGTCTTTCTTTCTTTTGTACCTACAATGAGTATATTGGCTGCCGTCAACAACGTCTCGGCTCCACCATGTAACCAGTCGACATTGGCCAATGAAATGCCATAGACAGCCTTGGAGATGATTCCCGAAGGAATGGTGGAAACGACAAAGAGCAAAACAAATTGAAAGCCAAAGTTTCCCAGATCGGATATTCGGTTTGCCTTGAAGCTCAGAAAGTAGAGAAAGAGCAAGTAGGGTAGCAGTGATGCTTGGAAGAAGATGCCTGCCAAGTTTTGGCCTTGATCGGCAAACGACAAGACATTGGAAGATGTTGCCATGGCAGTGGAATGATCCATCGTCGTCATCATATTATTGGCAGAAGCAAACGTGTCCATCGCCAACGCAGGATCCATCATGGCAAGAGTGGATTGCGACTGCCTTTGATTGATGAGGCTTGCAGGGACAAAGGCCGCCACCGATGGGACCATTGTCGCCAAGAAAAGCAGTGCATTGGTGGAAATTGTCGTCATGGTTCCTACGGACCGAATGATTCAATCGATCTAGTCAGTTTCTCTTCAATCTATATCACTTGATGATTGGCACTCCTATCAATCGAAGCTTGCCTTCTTCTCCTCTCTTGCTTCTTCTTCTTCTTCTATTAGGTTGAAACTGTCAGGTTCCTGTCTCCCGCACTCATGTAGATCTACTAGTATTTCTGAAGTTGATGTTTCCCATCGCCCATAACACGTACCCTAACGGGTAATGAGCTCAAGCAAATCTTGGAGGGTTTGTTGAAGTTTGTGATCGGATCGCATTTCCGTTTTCGCCGTTTCATCCTTTTGTGAATCATCACCAATCAGAGAGAAGCTGTTGCTTTCTCGCTATTGCCATTATTGACACATAGACGATCTAATATAGATGGTAATTGGAGGCATAATCTTGAATTAACCATGAAGTTTGCAACCCTTGCCCTTACAGCCGCCTTGGTGTTGACCGCCGAAGGATTCTCTCCTGCCGCCACCAACCATGGCCGATCCACCACTCGGCTATCCTCGGCCGTGGCCCCTCCCCAGCGAGAAGCTCCTGGTGCTGGGTATGTTCCTGAATGGGAAGATCGACCGGGTCTCTCTCCTGAAGAGTTCATGGCAAGTGACATGAGCAAGCCAGATAGGAGTGGAATGTGGGAGTGTCCATTGACTCGATGGGATTCCGATGAGTGAGTTAGTTATTAGTCATTGCGAGAGATGTGTAAGAAGTTGCCAGTTTTTGTTCCGGGGACCGTGGTGCTCACCTTGATTGTTGTTGTGCCTCTCTGGTCATCACCTTTTTCTCTCTTACGTTCGACACTTGACAATACACAATCTTCTTTTCTTTCAACCCATCCATCCATGAATTCATAATTCAGTATTGATGTTGTCAAGGCCCAAAAAGAAGCCGCTAAAATGCCCAAATGTCCTCTGGAAATGAGAGCTTCCGCTGCTGACAACGCCAAGGGTGCTCAATACTTTGCCGATAATAAGGAAAAAATTCGAAAGGAGCTTCTCAAGTACGGAGCTGTCTGGCTACGAGGCTTTGACCTCATGAAATCCTTTAAGGGACATCGGGAAATGTACGAAGCATTGGGATTGGACCCCTGTCTGGATCCTCTGCATTCTTCCGGATTGCGGAAATTCGCATCCGAGCGGGATGCCATTTACGAAGAAGTCAACAAGCCATCTCTCCGTGGACACTACATTGGACTGCATTGCGAGTCCACCACCAAGCGAACGGCTGCCTATGCTGCTTTTGTGTGCCTCCAAAAGGCGACTGAAGGAGGAGGCCGATTCTTGGTGGCCGATGGTGCGGCTATTTTGGCTGAACTCGATACCAAACTCTTGCAAAAGTTGTATGACCGAAAAATCAGAATCTCCGTCAGCAACTTGGATTTGCCCCCATCATTGCCAGGCATTCTCAAAGAGGGGGTCAAGGGATTGGTCGATGCTGCTGTCGCTCCCAAGTTTGATATGGACTTGGAAATGGTCTTTGAAGCGGATGGAAAGGAAGGTCGTTTGCAGGTAAGTGGATACAGTACAGTTGGCCTGGCCTGGCCTGGCCTGAATGAGAGATTATTGGAGGGATGAATCAAAATCTAACTGTCTTTTATTTATTCATTTATTTCAGGCCATTGAAACTGCCGAGGCACCCATCAACCGCCACCCTGTCACAGGTCTCCCAGTTTGGTTCAACAATGCTCACAACCATGCTAGAAAACTTCGTGACCGAAGACCTTGTGGTGTCCCAGAAGTTGGTATGACAGAAGTCTTTTATGCTGACACTCTAGAACCACTGTCTCTGGAGGACTGCCAAGAAATCAAAAGGGCAAGTGAAAAGCACATTACTGCCCTTGCCATGGAGCCTGGCGATGTCTTGTTGGTGGACAACTACAGAGCACTCCATGGACGTGATGTCTTCCAGGGAGATCGTTTCCATGCTGTCAGTTGGTTCACTTGGGATGACAAGGAAGAATGGCGTGGAAATGAGCGTCGCATTGTGGAAAAGAATGCTCTGAACCAAGCCATCAACTCGATGATGGACTGGTTGCCCAAGGATTTTGAATCCAACCAGAGCTAAGCGAAAGCAATGGTGAATTGCTAGATACAGAAAAAGAGGAAGTACAGTAGATTATGCATGGTCTGCCCACTAGAGGAAGCTCCAGTCTGGATATGGTTGCACACCTGGTAATCTCTACCCCCTAACTAATTGCATATAGATGAACCATGTTGATAGCTACAGCCTTGCTTGTCATTCGGTGCAGGTGTCACCAATGAGGAAATTGGCTTTCTGTAGACCGCAGCACTGCCATGCTCTAGTGCAGCAAACCAATCCTTGCAAATAAACAAAAAGAAATGGGGATGTGGTTCCAGGCTCAAACAATGCAAGTGGGGGTACCTTGTCACTGTCCCTCCCTCTGGCTGCTACCGTTAAAGCTCTAGAGTTGCGTCCTGCGAAGGCTGTGTTCCTGTTCCATGCACTGCTTCTCCTACCTGCTGCTTACCGGTATGTCATGACGCTCTTTACAAGTTCCCATAACTACTTATAATTTCTGGGGGGATTGCCTTCCTGATCAGAAAGATACTGTTGCATCCTCGTGATATCCTATCCAATATCAAGAAACCAGGGAACGAGAAAGCCAATTGCCACGGGGATGGCTACAGGAGGGCGTTGCGAAGCTGCTACAGTAGTAGGAGGAATGAGTAAGCTCCTCAAAGATACATCTACTAGCTAGCTAGCTTGGTAAAGTTCCGGATATCTTTTTCAAATCCGAATGGTTGAGCGATAATCTTGGTGCCAACGAGAATTCCAATTTGGATCCATGGCAATTGAATCCATTCTGTTGAAGCAAGATCGAGAAAGCATTGACAACGATAGCCCAATTCCAACATTCCAACAATTTGCGGTCCATCCGCAATCGGCTTCACTCTTGACTTGCCGATCCTCGACTTCAACTTTGCGAGTTCCTCAAAGCGAAAAAGTATATAGCATTAACCTTATAAAGGGAAAATACGTAACACTTTCCCCTGATGCGACAGATGTTTGCCACGACGAGCTCTCATGTATCGGGACATCGGGACTTTGTCACGGGCAAGAAAACCAATTGCCTCTCGCCACTCGGAAATTTGACCACCTCGGAATTCAATAGGCCCATCACTGTTGTTTGTTGTTTGTCTCGCCTTCCAACAAACCTTCCATTTATCACACTCTTCGGCCACAACGAAGCACTTGAGCAAGCAAACCATTTTGGTATAGATAATATTTTGTTTCCTCCTTGGCATTGACGACATGGTTCGTTTTCTTTTCCTGGCGGCAGCTTTGTTGTGCCAATCGTCGGCATTTCTGCCCCCCAACAGACGATTATCTCCAGCCACAAGTCTGTTGGTGTCAGAGCTGGAAAAGGAAGTGGAAACAGTCAATCCCATTAAACTCGAAAAGTCCAATGGTGCCAATGGCAGCACTGGACAGGCGTACTACAACCTCAAGAAGGGTAGCAAGATTCCTTCTACTTTGCGCATTGAAGGAAGAGGGATCCCCAACCGCAACGATCCCGTCCAACTCTTGGACTCGTCTACGTACGAGTCCGACCTGATCAACAGTTGGGATGTGTACCCAGAACGACAACGAGGTTTCGATTGGGAAGTGGAAAAGGCACGACGATACTTTGCCGGTCTTCGGTTGCGAGAAGATGGAACGTGGGTTAAGCAGCCATCCTTTTTCGATTTCCTCGTCAGCGAACGACGCATGTCAGCAATGGATGGCGGCTCCTCTCCTAAACCAGTCAACATGTGGGATGCTGCCATTCTCATGACGACCAACGTCGTTTCACAGCTGGGATTTGCACCAGCTTTGGGTATGGCATCTATTCCCACTGCTGTGATCCAGAAATATGAAGGCTCCTTTCTCTCCTTCATCAAGGGAGTTCTGGGAGGAGATCTGCAAACCCTTGCGGGGGGTCCCTTGTTCTTGCTGCTTGCCAAGTACTACACAGATTATGGTCCCATTTTCAACCTGTCCTTCGGACCCAAGTCATTCCTGGTCATTAGTGATCCTGTCATGGCAAGGCACATCCTCAGGGAAACTCCACCAGACCAGTACTGCAAAGGAATGTTGGCAGAGATTTTGGTACGTCCTATGGCACAATTATTTTGTTGGCTCTACTACTTGACAATCATTTATTCATACTCAATTGCTCACCTATCTCCGGCATGTCATGATCTGCCACAATACCAATACATGTAGGAACCAATCATGGGTAAGGGCCTGATCCCCGCTGATCCAGCCACATGGAAAGTTCGGAGGAGGGCCATCGTACCTGGCTTTCACAAGCGGTGGCTGAACCGCATGGTAACTCTGTTTGCCGACAGAGCAGAGATTTTGTCCAACGATTTGGTACAGAGAAGCAAGGCTGGCATGGTGGTGGACATGGAGGAAAGATTCTGCAGTGTCACGTTGGATATCATTGGAAAGGCTGTCTTTAACTACGATTTTGGGTCCGTTACAAAGGAGAGTCCCATCGTCAAGGCTGTCTACCGAGTCTTGAGAGAAGCCGAACACAGGTCGTCCTCCTTTATCCCCTACTGGAACTTGCCATATGCCGACCAGTGGATGGGAGGACAAGTGGAATTCCGAAAAGATATGACCATGTTGGACGATATTCTCTGTGATTTAATCAACCAGGCCGTCATGACTCGACAAGAAGCATCCATTGAAGAGCTTGAGGAACGAGAAAATGAGGACGATCCATCCTTGCTGAGATTTTTGGTGGACATGCGAGGAGAGGATCTTTCGTCAATGACATTGCGCGATGATCTCATGACGATGCTCATTGCAGGGCACGAAACAACGGCAGCTATGTTGACCTGGTGTCTGTTTGAGTTGGCACAAGGTGATCCGGGGCTTCTCAACGAGATTCAAAATGAGGTCAGAACGGTGCTCAAGGGTAAAGACCGCCCTGACTATGAGGACATTGTTGCCATGAAAAAGCTACGATATAGTCTAATTGAAGCGCTGAGACTGTATCCAGAGCCACCAGTGTTGATCCGTCGAGCAAGAACAGAGGATACGCTTCCAGGCGGTGGAGCAGGTGTTGGTGACAGTATCAAATTGTTGCGAGGGACCGACATCTTTATCTCCACTTGGAATTTGAACCGAAGTCCGGAGCTCTGGGAAAACCCTGAAAAATTTGACCCTACAAGATGGGAACGCGGCTTCCAGAATGCAGGAGTCAAAGGCTGGGATGGTTACGACCCTGAAAAGATTCGTGGCCTGTACCCGAACGAGGTAGCCTCTGATTTCGCATTTTTGCCATTCGGTGGAGGCGCACGAAAGTGTGTTGGTGATCAGTTTGCCATGATGGAGGCTGTTGTGACGATGGTACGTGCTTCTGCTGTTGAAGTTTTCCGGTTCGTTGTCTCCGCTAGTGCTAACGCAATTCTCTTGTTACCTCCGCAGTCTATGGTCCTGAAAAAGCACGACTTTACGTTTGCCATTCCGCCTGAAGAAGTTGGCATGCAGACTGGTAAGTGGAGTCTTTGTTGCTCTGTCTGTTGCCACTGTTCAAGGTCCTCATTCTGGTGTTCATTGACGTTTTTCCTTCCGCAATAGGTGCAACTATTCACACCATGAACGGTCTTCAAATGACAGTGAGAACGATTTCTGAAGATGAACCATTGCCAAAGACGGATGGATACTGGACTAAGCAGCATTTGAAGCGGGGACTGAGCACTAATGGGCTGCCGATTGCAAAGGAAGAGGACGCAGAAACCCAAGAAAAGAAGCTGAACATGGAGTTGTCGATTCCAATGGAAATCAAAAACGAGGACGCAAATTGAACAACCGAAGGAGGCTGCCTGATGCATTGAGAACAATGAACTGTGTCATTCCGCTTTACTCGCCTAAGCCTCGGTTGCATCCCGCGGACAGCGAAGCTACCGCATCACAAATCAGCACACGCTACATCACACAACATAACACCACAGAAGTACAGTTTCACAATGAATCATTAATTAACCTTAGTCCATGCATCCCAACCATTGTACATTTCCATAAGGTTTTGCCAGAGATAACCTTGTAGTGTACAGTCGCACAGCACAACCTCCTCAAGATAGCTATTTCATTGTGATTATTGTTGCGGATTGTTTTGATCTCTACCTTGTGGATGCAAGTCTATCGCGAACACCACTTGGTTAGCTAGCTAGTCTTTACACATCAGGCTCTCACGAGTGTCTACTCCAGTTGTAGGATTGGTTCCTTTGGCGGTTGGGTGACCGCACAGATACAGTTGCTGATCTTTACGGAGGTATGTTTCACTTTCGAAAGTAAGTTTGGTTGGGGGCATTGCGGTAGCAGACATAATTGTCAGAACCAACAGAAGTAACACAAGAAGGCCGAAGACCAAACACCTGGATAACCACCTTACCTCCAGTCAGTATTCTCAATATCCTTAATCCCCGTGAAAAGCGTAGCGCCAGAGACGTACATCTCTCTTACCACAGCATTCTGACGTTGAAAGAGACCTCGCATTAGTTTCCCTTCCAAACGTCACATCAAATAATCATGTGACAGCTGAAGCCAATGGCGTCATGACCACGGCTTCTGGCTCACTCACCTTCAGACTGGCACGGTTTAATTGCGCCATTTCAAAGTTTGCATTGGTCAGATCAGCATTCTCAAAGTTGGAACCATCAACGGTGGCATCAAAGAAGGATGCGCCCACGAGATTGCAGTTTTGAAAGTTTGTGTCTCGGACGATGGACTGCTGGAAGGCAACCCCCTTGAGATTCTGATTGGAGAAATCGGATCGATCCAAGTTGACACCACGGGTAATGGCAATGGTCCTCCCACTTTGCAACGTTGAAGCACCTCCAGTTGTGATTTTGGCGTTGGACATTAAGGATGCCCCTGCATCATTGGATGCAGCAAAAGCTGGGAAGGAGGAGAAGGCCAGCGAGGCGACGAACAATGCAGATACCATGGCTTTCCCAACAAGGTGAAGATCTGTGGACGTGGATGACGCAGCGTCGGCAGCGGTAGATTGTCGGCTGACTGGACCTACTGAATTGACATCGTGTGGGGTCGCAGCAAAGAGGAGTTGACTTGATTCTTGCAAGGAAGAACTCCTTAGACAGCTCGGAAGATGCGGCACAAATCCATTCACGCTGAGATCGAATGAGGCCAGCAGCAACAGGACCCTTGACAAGACCTTCATCTTCTTTCTTTCTCTCAAATTGTTAGTGGACTTATCTTAGTCGATCTCTGGTTTATTGTTCTCGAAGCTTTGATGTCAAGTCATTAGAAAATCAAGTACGGTATCTTTTGGGTGTGCAACTTGCTCAGCATGCATGATCGAAAAGATCGATGACGTACTCGTTCTCGTGTGCATCCACAACACGACATACGCTAATAGTACGGTACGGTATCGTATGCTTCCAAAGGCTGCCCAAACATGGAGCGGCATTCAGACTGAGAGCGGTACTACCGGTATCAACTGTAGCTAGCTATCTCCAAGGAATTACTGGCTACGATAGGGAGAAGCCAGCTAGCAACCAAAAAACCAATCCCCCAAGGCTACTTCCATGCTGCTATTTTAAAGCTGGACTCATTCTCTTACCATTTACAACCGTTGACCCCTTCTCAGGTCTTGGCCGGCAACCTAGCCCAAACATCATTCCTCTGAAGCACGAAACACCTTCCTCTACCCCACCGCCGTGGGCCAACATCTTGGCAGCCACAACAACCTTCCCCCATTTCCACAACTTTCTTTAACCAACTTCAATCTGCTCCCACATGCTACTGTACCAAGCACTTCTCTCCACCTATTGCCAGCAAGTCGCATCTGTCATCTATCAGTCTCCAAAAGATGGGTTCACCAAACACTAGCTCTGAACATTATGTCTATCCACATTGGCCAACCGGCCACATATCCAAAACATCTAACATTCTTTTGCTCTGGGTCCCAACCTGTCCATGCATTAGCCGGCACCTGCACTCGGACGAACACCAGGACCAAGACTCGACTCTCTCCTGACGAAGAGCCCCAGCACCAAACTGGTCGCCGTCGCTGTGCCCCAGCGAGCGCTCAGAGCTTACAACGAAAATGAAGCATTCCTACATTTGATTTACAGGTTGGGCTTGTTGCACCCCCTATCCAGTCAGGTAGCAAACTTTAATTGGAAAATCCTTTTGGGCGGTGATTTCAGGCTGTCATGTGAGTTCACGTGCACTTTCAGACTCGAGCAATAGTTTTGTTGATTGGATGAATTAATTGTTGTCGTCGTTTTGTGGATCACGCCATCACACCACCCATGGTACTGCCCGCAACAGCAATAACAATGACAAACACGATGACGCACGTTATGGTTCGGGCCAAGATTTTCGTTTTGTCCTCGTCGTCTTCCGCCGTAGAGGGCATGGCAGCTGATGCTGGTCGAACTCTGCTGTTGATTGTACTGTTGCGGGTATTCACTGCGTCGCCTCTAAGAATGGGTTGGGAGGAATTTAGCACATGACGGTCGGATAATTGTGCCACGACGACTCCTGTGTCACGCAATGTTTTGGCCAGGATTGTGACTCGTGAGGGGCTTGTTCGGATCATGTCGGCGGCTGCTTCGGGTCCCAAATGCCCTGCAGTATTCCCATTGACCGTCATTACAACATCCCCGGCATTGAGAAGTGAATTGGCGAATTTGGACCCATCCTTGATATCGGACACAAGGACAGAAGTAAGAGAGTGGTCTGCTTTTAAGGAGAGTCCGATCTTTTCGTCTTTGTTGGACTTCATGATCATGCTTTCAACGAGGTCGGCATCGCCCCCCGCATTGTGGAGGACCAAAGTTACATTTCCAGTAGCCCTTTGCAGAATCCTCGCCACTCCTTCACCATTCATTTTGTCGTTTGCGCAATCCTTGGAATCCACCGAGAGAACCCTGTCCCCAACTCGCAGTGGAGAATCACTGGCCAAGGAATTATCCACAATTCCTGTGATTCTGATGTCCATAGCTTTCGGATCGAATGTAACGCCCAATAAATCGTCTCGTCTTGCTTTGTAGAATGTCACGGATATGAACTCGGCGCGGACGTTGGAAAAGTCTATTTGTCTCGTGCTCTGGCCGCCTACCAGTACAGCCGTAGCATAACCAAAAAGAAATCAGAACAAGCGAGTTGGAGACAAATGGTTAGAAAATTAATTTTCACGACGATTCTCATCACTTGGCGCGATTTCTCATGATTGATTCTTCGATCTTATCGCATGTTCTGCCTTCATGCTCGAATGGAAACCACTTGAAGCAGTATTCAGGCCCCACTCAACTCACCATACACTTCTAGATCCCGAGAGGACGTGACAATGTTCTCTGCAACAGCGACGACAGATCCAACGTCCCCTTGCACCAATCCGTGTTCCTCGTCAAGAGCACTCAGTTGGACCGTGGGCAATTCAAGGGTGTCAGTTGCTTCTTCTGCGATCAAAGCCTCTTCATCCAGCGGCTCCGCAGCCACTGCCTCGTTGGTGGAAGTTTCCAGCACAGCACTTGTGCGTGTAGTAGTAGTTGATGCCATCGTCAGCGAATTGAAACAGTACTGTAACAAAGAAAAATAGATCTATGAACAGATGATGTGAAGAAGATGAGACTTCTCCGGAATAAACACGAAAATAAATCAAAAAAGGACGTTGAGACGCGGCTCAAGCAGTTTTAGTCACGACTGCATCCAGGACTGACGCCACGGGATCACCTCAACAGCTCTGGCGGCTATTCTCAACCTCACAAACTGGCGCTTGTGCTACTAGTACATGACATTATAGAAGACAAGAGGTCCCTCCGGGTGCGCCAACCCAGTAGGGGTTTTTGCCCTCAACTACCAGCTAGCAAGCTGAGGACCTTTTGAATTTTATCTTGTCTGTGTGTGTGTGTCTGTGTGCTTGCACCCTGTTTGCCTTCAACTACCAGCTAGCACCCGGAGGGACCTCTTGAACTTTATCTTGTGTGTGTACGTTGAGTGCTGTGTGAGATGTGTGATGTTGTGTGAGATGTGTGTAGATACTACTAGGAGTAATCTACGATGAATCTACCATTGGATGTTTATCCATGGGGTATACCGTTGCTTGCTGATTTCCAAATCTGAGCTTAAGAATTTCCTGTTTGCTTCATCAGTGGCAAGCTGGGGATGGCAAAAGATACAAGCCGGGTAGGCTGTGAGAAAAGCAAGGGTACCCTGTTTGTGGTGATTTCGAAAATAGACACATAGGAGCTGGTAGGTATAGACCGAAACCAAGCTAAATAAACTGTAAATCCAATACTCGATGGGCTGGATGTGTTGGTGTGGGTGTGTGTGTGTGTGTGTGTGTGTGTGCTTGCACCCTGTTTGCCCTGCAAGCAAATGCATGCACCCCTGCCCTGCAAGCAAATGCATGCACCCCTTGTCCTGCAAGCAAATGCATGCACCCCCTTGCCTGCAAGCAAATGCATGCACCCCCTTGCCCTGCAAGCAAATGCATGCACCCCCTTGTCCTGCAAGCAAATGCATGCACCCCCTCTGCCCTGCAAGCAAATGCATGCACCCCTGCCCTGCAAGCAAATGCATGCACCCCTTGCCCTGCAAGCAAATGCATGCACCCCCTTGCCTGCAAGCAAATGCATGCACCCCCTTGCCCTGCAAGCAAATGCATGCACCCCCTTGCCCTGCAAGCAAATGCATGCACCCCCTTGTCCTGCAAGCAAATGCATGCACCCCCTTGCCTGCAAGCAAATGCATGCACCCCTGCCCTGCAAGCAAATGCATGCACCCCTTGCCCTGCAAGCAAATGCATGCACCCCCTCCTCTGCCCTGCAAGCAAATACATGCACCCACGAGCCTCTGGCTGGCTGTCCTAAAAGAAGTCAGGTGCTTGTGCGTGGAGTACATAATATGCATTTATTTGAAGGCTATTGATAAATTGTAGGAGTGTAATATTATTTTTATATAAAAAACATTTTAACCAGATTTTCGATATTTTCATCGCATGAAGAACGAGTCTCGGGAGGCTGCAATTGAGGTGGATGCAATTGAACCACCTTTCGGACGTACCTTATGGGCGAAATAGAGATATTTTCTTCATTTGAATCGGATAGAATTGCGGTTAGTTCTAAAGCAGGATTGCCTTGTAGAGAAGAGCGATAGCCAGTGGAGTTTATGAGTCTGGCAGGAAAGATAATATATGTACCGTAGGGTATAAAAAATATTCTTGACGGATGAATCCGAGGTCGGAATGTTGATCTTGTGGTAGTGATATAAAAGTGAAGACTCCTCCAGGGGATATTGGAATAATGATTTTGTAGCACACTTGATTAGGTGTAGGTGCTGTTGCGGGAGTGATTGCTTTGAATATGAACACTTCTTGAAGATGATGGAACACGCATTTGCGTGGGTCAATATGGATGTTGCCACGAAAAACCAATCGCTGGAATATCCATCTAGCCCTGATAGTTACGGTTATTGGGGTCGCTGGAAGAATGTGATGTTTTTTCCATTGAGATAGTAGGTGGATTGTTATTTGAGTGGATACATGGATATTTTTCTCTCCGAGGAGATGAGCCAGTCCATTTTTTGATAGCTTTGGACTGTCATAGGACAGAAGTGTCTCGGAACTTGAGTTGCGATGAGTGCGGAGATGACGATTGGCTCTAAACGATTTTGATCCGTTGGCACCGAAAGATTTTAAAAACCTTTGATACACAATGCATAAATGGTTTTTGCAGATTGCAAAGGAAGAAACAGTCTGGTCTGGCCTTGTATCGAAGGTATCATTTGATGATTCTGCATCGATGGAGTCACCAGTGGAAAGATGTAAAGAATCATTTGGAATCGCAATATTGAATCGTTCTTTTGGTTGAATTGAACGAAAAAATTCACAGAACGTTCTGTACTTTTGGCTCAAAGTCGATTTGGATTGATTTAACTCTGGGTTCAGCGCCAAAAAATTTGACTGAAAGTTTGAGAGGCTGGGTAGGGGCATGGCATCCTCAGACGGTTGAAATTGTGGTGTTTTCTTTGTTGCGTATGTTTTTCTTTTTGATAGATCTTGGAGGTGGTTGGGAGAGTAAGATGATTTCATATATACCCAGCAATGTAGCAGTAAAAAGTTGTAGTGTTTTGCCCGCAAATCTTCTTGGAACAGTCTACGAGAATGAATTAACTTGCGACTCAAACAGCCTTGCTTTCGCTTTTTGTCAAGGCGTTGTTGATTTGCATTATCTTGGGGTATTCGGAAACATGTGAGATAGAAATGTTCAAACTGTTCTTTTGCACAAAGAAGAGTCCCAATTCCATTAGGACACAGGACAGGAGCTGTATCCTTTTGTATCAGCTGGAAGTACCATGCTTTAGACTTCATCGTGGTTCCAGTTCGTGGAGTCCAAAAGATGGTAAATAGACTGGAGATTGCATCGGCATATATCTGAAGAACTCTCGCCTGGTTGTTTGCATCTGACAAAAATGTTGCATCCAATCGATTGGGTAGTTTCTTTAGCCGTTGTAGTTCTGTGGGTGGATCAGAGAATATAGTAATGAGCTCGTTGGAAAACCTGTTTTTTTGGTAGACTACATCAGAACAGCAAAAGCATCCCTGAACGTCCACGGCAGCACCAATGCATGGATCGGATTTTCGGACTCTCAGTCTCATGTTGGCTAACCATGATTCAATGGTACAACGTTCAGTACTAGACTCCGTGTTTTGTGGGTCACTCTGTGCGTCAACACCGTTGAAGCTCTCATTTTTGCTTCGGACCCAGTATTGAGTTGCTCCTAGAAAAGTTGATTTTTCTCTCATGTTGATTGCGAGTTGGTACTATTGAAGGAATGAACTTGTGGACGAGAAGCAAATGCTGCGAGAAGGAAAACAATCATGCATGTTCGAGATGCTGGTTTGTTTGAAGGATGTCAAGAGGGACCTGGCGGGATCAAACAAACTTGCTAATGAATGAATGAATAAAATATAAGCTGGTGAGACTGTTGACTATGGAAAGCTACTTTTAAAAACTAAAACACTAAAGTTGAGCTGGTCCAATAAGCTAGGACCAGCAGCACAGTGGGTGGATACAGCATTTCTTGACACATGTTGACGCTAAAAGTTGAGCTGATCCAAGCTAGGACCGGCAGCACTGGCAGTGGATACACCATTTCTCTGTTGTTGGTTTCCCACATAAGAGGCAAAGTGCTCGCGAATCCTAGGAAGTAGATCGTCCGAGAAATAAACCCGGAGGCAGGCAGGACTGCGAAGGACATCCGAGATAGTTTTGAACTGGTTTGAATGCACAGACAAAATGTAATCCATTGTATCGCGCACTGTAAGCCAATTGGACAGTGGAGCTGCTTGAGTCTCATCTTGTGGGGTAAGATCACCGGAATAACGGCATGTCTCCGCGTACTTGAAAAGACCTTGAGTTTCATGGGCGTTCCAAAACTTGCAAAAGTTGTTGCACCATTTTTGCCTATTGTCGTGGTTGTTCAAACGGAAAGCATCCTTACCGGGGATGGCGTGTACAAAGACAGGAATCCGACGAGTATAACCAGTTTGACTCACTTCTCCGTAGTGTTCGAATGGATTGTCGGGATCACGAAGACTGTAGATGCTATCAATTTTAAGTACCCGTTGACAATACTCACCGTGTTGCTTGAGGTACTGCTCTGCAGGTGTAAAGAACGGCGCTTTTCCATTTTTGTCCAGCTGCATGATCATGTCATGATTCCGTGCTTTGGCACTGGAAACCTGTAAGCCTTTTCCTCCCGTGTGAGTAATCGATGTTGTCTTAGCCACCGTCTTGTTGAACAGAAAGCTGTTGTCTTCATGAGCCACATTTGTAGACACTTGAAAGGATCGATGCTCAGACGAATTGGGACGCTGGTTAGCAGAAGCACTGGCGGGATTAAGACCATTTTGAGGAGGCTGATCTTTTGCAGATTGTTGATGAAGTCGAAGATGAGCATTGAACTGGTCCCTAAGGTCATTGATATTCCTTGTCCCATTGAAGTTCTGAATCAGCATATCGATAAAAGTCCGGTAGTGTGGTCGGAACCGATTGATAACTGCCAAACGTGTGGTTTCGTAGAGATCGATCTCTGTAGGACTGTTGGCCGGAGGATAGAAGCACTGTCGAAAGTGCCTGAAGAACGGATCATATTTTTGATTGTCATCTAACTTGTGGAAAATATTGTGATTTGAATGTTCGGCATGAAGCATTGGTTGAAGCACAGAATCACCTTCGACAAGGAAGGGGTTGTTTGAAGTACCTTGTTTCAGCATGTCCTCAGGAAGGAATGGAAGCTTTCTGGGACTGCTGGTGCTGAGTAGATTAAGATTGGGTTCGGAAGAGTCGCCGGCAACCAGATGTGCACCGTTCATCTCGACACTTGAATGCCCATTAGAGTCAAGGCAGCGCTGCTGCAACTTTGGTCCGCATGCATCAGTGTTTTGCATTGGTCCTATGCCAATGTTCCAATCTGGTAGAGGAGGCATTCGCAACTGCACTTGTTGGGAGGTACTATTTGGATGACGAGCTAATAACATCTGCTCAACTTCTTGTGGCGAGTAAACTTGTTTGTAGTACATATCACTTGGTGGCTGGGTGTCAAATGTATTATCCAGTAGGTTTTTGTTGTTGTGTTTGTGAGGTGTTGTTGGGGTATTTTTGGTGTTGTGATGCATACGGTGGCCTGACTCCAATTCAGGGACATTGTCGGATACGTTTGTCATATTTCTATCCACTGCAAAAGCAACGAGGAAGAGAAAAGGAAAATCAGAGAAACTAAATGGTGGAGGCACTTGCAAAAGTTTGTGTGGCACTTACTTTCACTTGCAAGATATTTCTCCAGGTTATTAGAGTCAAAGGTATTGCAGTCTTTCTGGAATGATGCAAGGACAAGTCGGCACAAATCGTTCTTGTAGCTGGATTCCATTTTGTAGCGATGCGTATAGCCATCAATCCAATTGAGAACATCCTTCAGGCAGAGGTAGAATGATGGTGGTCCAGGGAGCAACTCGAAGGACTTAGTTCCCACAGTAATGGAAGACGGGGCACTATCGAAATGACGGAGGGTGATGTATTCGATATCTCCACCCTGCAATTCAAAGTTGCCATACACCTGAATTGTCGTGTCGTTTGGAGGAAGTCGAAACAGTCCTCTGTTCTGGAGGACAACTGATGTTGGCTTGCTGGGAGCTGTTGTGACAAGACAATTTTGACCAGGAGCACTAGCAAGTTGTTGAAACCTTTTGTTGTAAGGATCATAAGCATTGACCGTTGGTTTGACCTTTTTAGGCAGTGGATGTGGGATCGGTGTAACTATTTCAGACTTCTGAGTATTCACTGTGGTACGGGAAATGCCTTCATGAGTCACGGTGGTGGAATCAATTTGAAAACAGTCATCCGGAAGAACCCGCTTACGAGCATCTGGAACTTCAGTCACAGTCTCAGGGCCAGATACTAAATTGTGTTTGACCGGCTCGGGTTGCGTGTTGTTGCTGTTTTGGTTTTTTTTGGGAATCCGGTAGGACATGGGATTGCCTTGACCAACAGAGTTCTGGAAATCATACGAGTTAGTTGTAAGACTGGACTGGTTTGCCCCAACAGTAGAGCCCAGAGGTAAATGGTTGTTAGAGCAAGCTACTGGGGCCTTTTCATTAAGTGCTGGGAAGGAAGTGTTGGTAGCCGAAGGTGTCTTAGAAGAAGAAGCGGAAGTAGACACATTTTCTGAGGAGGACGAATTGGAAGCTGTTTTACATGAATGAAGGGAAGAATCTTGTTCAGAAACAAAATCGTGAGGCTGGGAATGAGATTGTTCTGAATGCACTTTTGGAGTGCTAATAGGGAGGGGGGCACCACTATCGGTTGCAGCTGGGTTGTTGGCAGTGGGAGATGCAGGAGATTTGTTGGAGCAGGGAGAAAAGTCCAAGGAGGAAGGAGGTACGGACTTTGAATTGTTGGTGAAAGGAGAACTGGAAAAGGGAAGGCTGGAAGGTGGAAGTTGGTTGGAAGGGGTCCCGGAGGAAGGTTTCGAAGTTGGAGAGTTGTTTTGTTCCGAACCCGAAGCAGCAGTAGTAGTAGTAGAAGCGGAAGGGTTGTCTTTCTGATTATTTTTTGTTGTGGTCGAACGTTTAGCTCGTGCCATGATGACTGTAGCGAGAAAGCGTAGAACAATGGGAAAATTCAAATGATGAACGAGTAGTGTATGAAATTTTGTGAGATCTGTATGCATCTCTCGATCGGGCTGATCTCTTTGAAATTGTGCAATCTGACCAAACCAGTATTTGGCAGGACTACCATTTCATTGGAATGCACATGTGATCAGACCCGGTGAATTGTTTGGTTGCTTTGATGTGCACCGGGTGACAGTCGGCCAGGAGGTCATAACCGACTACTTTTGACACCTTGTTACTCTCTTTTACACTTTGCAAACAAACTGAGCTCTGATCGGCCCCGTAAGTCTTTGTGATTCTAGTGATTCGCTCCGATATCGGTTTCCGATGCGGCACGGTGATCTTTCAGCTTGATAGCGTTACAAAACCATAATCCGAATTTACTTACGCCGTCTCATTACAATCCTTTCACGACTCTCAGTACCTTGAATGCTATTATGGTCATGCAAACGCAAACCAGTTTTTCCATCAAACTCCACGGTCCTGTCAAATGCATGGTTACAACAAACATGGCAATATTCAATCAACTTCCCTGCTGCAGCATACTTCTATTGAAAGCTTCAGCAGACACGATCAACAATCCCCTCGTTCACTATTTGGCAGGCACCATCCGATATTTAGACTAGGACCACCATTTGGAAGTGGACCACTAGCTACTTGCAAAAGCGTGTGATCGAGACCTGTGTATAATGCGTTTCGTAGTCTCCTTTAACACGTCCGTCTCTTTAGCGAGAGGAGTACATGGTCCTCAGGTCATTAGGATCATATGGTGTTGCTGCCCTGAAGGTCCTCCTTCAATAGAGAGTATGCGTGAGATCGCAGCAGGGAAGAATTGATGTTGAAATGCCTAGTCTGTTAGACCATGCATTGACAGGCACACGCTCCGTGGAGTTTGATGGAAAAACTGGTTTGCGTTTGCATGACCATAATAGCATTCAAGGTACTGAGAGTCGTGAAAGGATTGTAATGAGACGGCGTAGACTTTGACCTCCTGAGGACCCCGGACCGCCATGGCAGGATTGCTGACTTGGGCAGGTGAGTAATGAGAAGGCATAGACTATGACCTGGCGACCCGGTTGGCAGACAGGTTTGAGACCCGGTTGGCAGACAGGTTTGAGACCCGGTTGCCAGGATTCTGACTTGGGCAGGTGATAATCGGCAAAGGATTGCAACGAGAACACAAATACCGTGACCTGGGGAGCTGTCCCGGCAGGATCATTGACTTGGGCCTGTTTGAATCCATCTTGTTTCTCAGAGAGACAAAACCCACAAGTGTCAATGTTGCCTGGCTTGAACGGGCAAAACTACATGATGTGGGCCAGGACCCCCACCCAAAAGCGATTGAAAAAGGAGGCCGCCAAGATTCGTTCTTTCTTGCGAGACGTCGTCGATGAACATGATTTGACAAGCTTCACGGTAGGTATTGCCGGCTCAGCTCCCTTGTCGTGGAAGCTCATGAAAATTCGCAAGGCTTATCCTGATACGGAAGGCCCTTCCCCGTTTTTATGGAATGACGTTGATGTATTCGTGTGCGCACGCCATGGTATGCATGTAGATTCATTCGAAAGATTCATCAGCGACATACTGAGAAAGGCGAGGATGAAGGAATACCGTATCCAGAGTGTCAGTGGTTACGTCAATGAGTACATCTCGCCGGACTGGGAGTGTTGCATAAAAGAAATTCTTGTGGCTGGCATCGTGAGCACATTGTCATTCATCCAGTGTCCTCGGAGCCGTACCGTGGTGGAGGAGATTGAGAGGTTTGACATTAGCATTTGCCAGATTGTGTATGATTTCCAGAGGAATGACTTCGTTGCAAAGTTGGATGTTCTCGAGGACATTTCGAACGGCACAGCTAGTGTGAATGCAACAATCACCGACTGGGCTCATAGCACCGATTCTCTCTCCGAGCAAACCCCCTTTGTAATTGAAAGGCTCAAATGCACCTTTTATCGGATGCAAAAGTATGAAAGGCGTGGATTTTCTTTTCACGGCGGAAGAACACTCTTGTATCGACTCGGCACTTTATTGAATCGAGTAAATGAAATATCATCAAGCGAAGAGGATTCAAGTGCAATGGAGAACGAAGATAGTTAGACCCTGTGTAGTAATGGCTGTTTGCGGGAGGTAAAGAGTAATATGAAGTTTCATTTCATGAGTATCCAAACTTACTGTGCTGGCTTGCATGTAAAGCTCATCATTAGTCAGAGTCAGAGCACGTGCGGGACTATAGAGTTACGGCATAGGAGACAGAGCTAGACGCTAGATCATTGACAAGCCAGTCAATTAAATTTGCCTGAATCAATCATCTCCTCGAACCTTCTGTTGGCCCTTTCATGGCACCACACGTCTTCCATCCAACTTTCGTTCATATCGCCGTGATTAGGTTGTTCACGAAAGCCAGCAAAGAAGTAGTCGATCGAAGGATCCCGTCGCAAATTGTTGACAAAAAGGATAGAACGCCATTTTTCCTCCTCGTTTCGTCCAGTGAGGAGTAACCTAATGTGAGAACCACAGCGTACCCGAGAGAACGCAACCAGTAGCTGTTGGAACGTGAATTGGCAGTTGTGCAAGCCACAGGAAGAGAGAGCTATGATAACCCGATCGAGCGTTTTCCCTTGAGATTTGTGCACCGTGATTGCGAATCCAAGTTCGAATGGATATAGGTTACGGAACACTGCTCTGGATGGCAAGAAGCAGTGAGAGCCCCTGATAACTGTTGGCGTTGAATCCCATGAGCAAGACATCGAACGCAAGGGCAAGAGGATTCTGTTTGGTTTGTTCTTTTTGTGATTGTTCCTCGTTCTTTTGGGTCGCTCCAGAGACATCTCTTGCAGTGCCTTAAGAACCACTGCATCCACATGATGTGGGAGCATAAGCTCCACCACTACACACTCAGGTGCTATGGGCATATCAATCACTTCCCCAACCGGGACTACAGTCTTCAAATGACTGAGCAGGGATTCCATGTCATTGGAGAATCGGACATCATAGCATTTGATAGGAAGCGCATTCACCAACTGCAAATCCCGCTGAATTGTTTCATTGAGAAAACCAGGAGCATCGAATACAAAGTATTCCCAAAAGACTGGATCATCCTCTGCTTGCGTTCGAAATACATCGGGTGGCTGCTGCTCCCAATCTTTTTTGTCTCGAGGCCATCTAATCACATGGGTCCCATAGAACTTGGCAAATAGCTGAGCTCTCTCCTCTATGAGAGTTATCCGCTCTCTATTTGTCGCCACAATGACGGGAGCTCGAATCCATTCTTCTGATATGGCTTCTTCTGGTGTGAAAAGCTTGTAGTGTGATTTCAAGTCCATTTGAGTCAGAGGAAAGCCCTTGTAAAGCTTCTCGACAAAACGACTATGAATGGGATCACTGACAGCCCTTTGCTGTTGAGTTAACTCGAACCACCGAACAGATGTCATAAGTTTCGTTCCGATAAGATAAGGGTGGGTTGGCTGGTATTTGGGTTCTCCGGAAAGCATCGTTCTCGCTCCATTTTTCATTGAGGTTGGACTTTTTTTCTTCTTGCCCGGCATGACTATTTTGGATCTGATTGATTTACTTGCAAACACATCCATCACGGCCTGAGTGAGGCTCAAACCTGCTTTGACGGGACCAAGTTGAGTCAAATCCCCGTATAGATTCGTCTGTCTTCCTCCAAAGGGATCATCACTCGTTGACAACAACTTGCACAGGGCGTCCTTCCGAGCCAGATGGGCAGGAGCCTGTGTTCCGATTTCGTCAATGTGATTCGTAACATCAACTGATGCACAAGATCCAATTTTTTCTCTGGCCTTACGAACGGTCAATGGCAAGAATGTTCCAACATGGTTGAAGTGATACTTGCAGTTGAAACCAGTATCGGTGCATGTTGTGCATCCTCCTTCCATATCTATTGCATTGATCGAGTTAAATGCCGTATTGTCATTGTAACCCCCACTGGCAGCGATTGCATCTGAAATCGACTTGCGAATGTGAGACTTTCCTACTCCTGGTGGTCCATGCACTAAGACAAGGGATGGCATGCTGGAGTGTAGGGGCTTGTTTTTCAGAAGCGAATCTGCAAAGGCATTGTACAACTGCAACTGTTGATTGAGCTCTCCCCGAGGACGCGTGTCTATGAGAGATCTAATCTCTGCAATTGCTCTCTTCTTTTGGGCGTTAGTCGGGTTAAGTGGCAAGGAACTCCCAATTCCCCTGATCACAGATCCAGATATCCCATTTCCTATGTGGTCCTCTTCAGTCCTCTTCCAACTAACCATATCATCATAGCAGATTTGAAGTTCCGATACTGTGTATGAGCTGACAGTATTTCCTTGTGCGGACACGGATGCACCATTGTCACCCTGGCGTGGATTGGAGACGTTTCCTCGTCCAACTGCACGAATCTGCATTGTATCATGATTCAGTCGCTTGTACATCCGATTCATGGTTGCTTGAGGAAGATCTGGTGTTCTGTATTTCTCATCGAATGGTTGCCGTGTGTCGATTCGAGTTGTATCATTGTGAATGTTCCACTTCTGAAATTCCAAGCGCTGCTTCCTGGTCCAGAGGTCACGGTTTCTTCCTCGATACTGCAATGTCATTTTCTTTACAACTTCTGATGTTTTCATCCCAGACATGTGCTGATGCATAACCATAAGCCTGAACTTGCTGATAATAGAGGAATCGTTCTGCAGTTGTGCAACAAAGCTCTGCAGGTGCTCCCATGTGTACTCATAAGAGGAGCTAGCATGTTCCGGACGAAACAATGAAAGGTAAAATTTAGCAAAGAAGTCGGCCTTTGATCTCCAGGCTAGAGCCAGTTTTGATGGTACTGAAGGGGGTGGTAGTTTCCCCGGGTGGCGAGGCAGCTTGCCAATAATCAATGGCGTCCGAAGCTTGTGTCCAATGACATGGTAGCATGTATGTGGAGCAATAAAACCATCCTCCAACGGAAAATGCTCTTGTGCGTGCACATCCTTTAGATTGCACTCAGTTTGCCTTGGTTTTTTATTGACGAAGGACAAAGAAGCCATGTACTCGTAGTAATTTAGGTCATGTAGGCTTCTGTTCCGGTAGAGATATAGTGCAGTTGCTGGAACAAAAACAGATTCAGCTTTCTGATCCTTAGTCGAAAGAACTGTGTTGATTTTCTGAATGTAACCAAGTCCATGGAGTATATCTCCAGGATCTGGGAGTGACGGATTTGTGGTGAGCATGGAAGGATCTAAAGCCGATTCGTCGGCCACTACCCCTTCACCGCCTGCAGCGTTGACATCATTGTTCATCCCAACTATCTCGTTTGCATTATCAGGAACCGAAGGAAAGGACTGCCCTTCAACATCATCCAAGTCATCCTGCATCAACTGCTGCATATCTTGAACAGTAGTTATGGGGAATTGAACTTGATTTCCGGCTTGCCTTGCATCTGGTCGAAGCTGGTTGCTAATCTGCTCAAGATCTTCAATATCCATCTTAGCCTTTAAGGCACGGATGGAGAGTGGGTTTCCATACGCAAAAGTATCAGACGTGATCATGCTGGGCAGTTCCAAAAGCGCAGCTGCTATCTGGTAGTCTGATATTTCAATGTGAAGGTGAATTCTGTTGATAACCCTCTGTAGAAGATGTTTTACAGTCCTTTGCATCGTCCCTGAATCTGATGCTCTGCTTGGATACTTTTCAATATGATTGATAGCATGATCAATGAGAGTCAAGGAAGACATCAGGGGGAACTTTGTTTTTCCTTGGTACGGAATCAGGTAAAATAATGCACTTTTTGCCTGGCCAATGCTGCCTAGAAGCGATGCGTTGTTGTGGGATCCAGTGCAAAGGGCAAGAACAGGATTAAATGCGGCTATGAAGCCATTTGAAGCAGGTAATTTCTCCCTCACGTGCAGGAAAATCTCGACCAGCTGATCAACCGATGCAATTGACTGCATCCAATTCCAGAATAGATTATTGTCTTTGCCGTAGTTGGGTACACGACCTAGGAGCTCTCTGAATGTTTTAACAATGAAGGCCCTTGGATCCTCAAAGTCCATTGGTTCCAGCGCAAAGCCACCAAGAGGTATTTCTGGCCGTTTGGTCTCCCAAACAATGACGGAATCCTCTGGTTTTGACTTGGCCAAAACATCTACAAGATGATGCTTCGGTGAACCGTTATCGCCCCACTGATCGGTCGGCGGAGTCGAATTCCACACACGGGGTCTATCTTCGCGTGGTTGAGCCCCATCAGGTGCCTGGTTGGTGCAAACCTTTTCCCGTTGGCTCAATTTGACTGCAGATGTATTGGCTATAAGGGCTGATGGACAACAAAGCCTGCATCCAATCTTCCCTTGGCTCCCTTTATGGCATGTCAGTTGATGGGAATGAAAGTTCTTGTTGGTGGCTTGGTATCCAACGACTCGATTTACTTGCTCGGAGGAAACCAACTTAACGGAGTCACATGTGTCGTCATCGTTGCATCCAAGTGTGGGAAGACCATCACATACAATTCCGTCCGTGCAAGGGCTATCATATTCAGAAGAGGAATTTGCAAAGCAGGATCCATTTTCTTCCCCAAGATGATTTGCCGGACTGTCAGAAAAAGATCCAATAGATTCTGTATCCCCTGGAGGTTGAGGGGGGGAGAATCGACCACAAATCTGAGAGCATTCTTCCCCTTCCATTTCCACATCCCTCTGAATGTCTCTACCAGACGAACTGTCCTTTTTTTGCTCTCCCGTCTCAGATAGTTCATCATCTGACTTGAATGGCTGACTCAGCTTGTTTGTCGGATCTTTTCTCTCTAACAATGTTTCCTTCGGTTCAATGGAGTCAAGAATGCTATCAGAAAGCAAGAAGGAAGCTTTCTTTGTCTTCAAAAAGCGTCGCAGCATGGATCCCACCTGCAGATCTGCAGGGGCCTCAGATACGTACATCGTATCTAGAACCGCCGATATTTCGTCACAAATTTCTTGAAGATGAGCAAATCTCTGGAGAATAAAGGGAGAGAGACCTGCATAGACTATAAAATGCCAATGCAGGGTACCTCTTTCATGGGCTTCTGTCACCCCAGTGGCAGAGAATGCATGTCCGAATATACCTTTCCGCAACTTGTAGTACGTGGTTCGACGGCGCGAACGACAATCAAGTTTCGAGTAGTAGCCTTTGCCCTCTATGTTGACCCCAATGAGTATGGTGAGAATATCATTGAGCAAGATCTTGTACTCATGAACGAAAGCAACCGGGTTTTCTATTGACATCTCGGCCCTCTTTGATTTCGGTAGCCGAACAGTTGCCTCTGCAATAATCGCTGGGCTTGAACCACTTTCACCAGATCGTGATCCCGTCCCCATCATTGCATCTGCAAAGTCAGCACCATTAGATCCATACGGACACTCTTCTTCAAAGACAGATGGAAATTCTTCATTGCTTTTGGTTGAGAAAGCCAAACGTACACTTCTTGGATTGTCAACTGTTCCTGGGCTGATTGTGAGGAAACAGGTTGGCGCCGAGTAACGGTAGGAGGTACCAAGAAGACGATGTTTGAGATTGGTGCCTTCTAGCGCACTGTAAGGAATACTCTTGCTTGGGAATAGAAGGTGAGGAAGGTATCTATTGAGGACTCTCTTGCTCTCTCTTGTGTAAGGAAACTGTATTGCTGATTTGAGTCGTTCCCTCTCCGAATTCCCATTGTTCAAGAGCTCTGCAATCACTTTAAGTGATTTTCGGTTCCCTTCAACGTGAGATTTGACTCCATCGACAACTTGCTGTCTCTGACCCACATCAAAGAAAAAACCCAGCAATCTCCTGTCCTTGGCAGTACATTGATGGAATTGATTGAGGAGATGAGATCGCTGTGCAGTAGAAAGGCGTCCCGGCTGTCTTTTGTAAGCAACTCCCAACATAAAAATGTGTGGAAAAGTAGTAGTAACTGCTTTGTCGTCTTTGTCGTAATCTGAAAGTGGATTTTCTCCCCTTGCGGCCATCCTGTCCATGGTTGGTGGGAATCTCTGCAAGTAGGACAGAACATCCTCCTCACTGAATAGGCAGCTTTCAATGTCGCTCTCTTGCAATGGTTGATTGCCCTGGGGCAACTCAGCAAGTTTGGCCAATGCCTTTATACGAAAGTCATCTTCACCTGCTCCATAATAGGCGTGATTAGTGTTGGTGATGTATGAGTAGCTGATGTCATTGAACTCTTGAACACATTCATCTTCCATGCAATCTCTATCATGGGATGTCATAGTAGCGCGTCGTTCCTTCACTTGATGTTGCTTTAGAATCTCTTGATTCCGAACCTGCGCAACATCTGAACCTAAACCATTTTCGAATTCAAGAGCATCTGGATCATCGATGCAGTTGCGCTATCGATGATTGCATTGTTCATTTCATTCACTACCCTTTTCACAGCCTCTTTCACATTGGTCACATCTAGGTCTCGATAATGAGGATGACACCATCGAAGCACAATCAGCCATTGTGCAACAACATGAGGTCTGGCCAGAAGGTTGACCGTCTGAAAGACTTCACGTGCCATTGCATCCTGCCTTCCTTGGGGATCCACCATATAGATGTGCAACAGCTTACGAATCTCATCTATATCGAGGAGTCCACCTTTCTCCAGTAGACTTGATTCAAAAATGTAGGAAGCAACCTCACAGGAGTTGTGCGGGAATATGATTGCATGACATTTGGATCTGTTCTTGTCGTTCATGTTGACCTGCCCAACTGTATTTGATGAAGCCTTCAACATTGCAAAGTACATTCTTGTACGAGATAGCATAAGTTGCTCGTGCAAATTAGGCATGGTCAGACCAATCCGTTTGAAGTATCCAAAATCAACGTCATTGGCAATAGACAAGTTGGGAACGGCCTCATCAGTTATCACACTTGTATGACAGAGAGGACACAATGAGACAAAGTGGGTACCATCTTGGTCAATTTCAACCAGTTCAGGATGAAGGTGCCAGAAGACCGAACCTCCATCATTGTCGTGTTGTCTGAAGAACGATCTGACCTGAGCAAGATTAACCGATTGTTCATTCCACTTGGAATCAATGGGTATTGTTACATTTGCTTGAGGCGAATTCATGAAATGGGAAAGCTCCTCGGCTTGCTGAAGTGTATACTTCAAGATTGACATTTTGGAATGGGATAGCGGTACTCTGACGTATTGGATGCGAGGCTCATCGATACGCTCTATGAGACGCAATCCACAACAACCACAGCTCTTCGTCGAAAAGTCCACAAAGGAATGCAGCTCATAGAACTTGCGAATGATCGTGTCATACTCCTTGTCGGTCATCCGCTCATCTCTGATATCTTGTACGAGCCGATCAACATCAATAGGTTGACCGTTGGAACTTGCAGTGTAATCCTTGTATTGCTCAAATCGGAATAAACCCGAGTTGATATAGAACAGTAGCACAGCCTTTGCAGGATGTTTGTTGAAGTCGTCGAAGAAACGAGCCTCTCTGAGTGCGGGCGAGCTTTGATCAATATCTTCACTATAAGAAGCATTGCTGTCTTGTGGCTCATCCGCATTTGGATCAATAGAAGGACCGTCGGGCAAAAGATCCTTTAGAGCGTTCCGGTCACCAGATTTTCGCAAATGAGCAGCAAGAGTATCAGCAGATACCCCGAAGTCAATTTGATTATGGGGAGCGCCACATTTGTCGGCATCGTTGGCACAAGCAGGTTGAGCATGGGAACGTTGGGATGACGTTCCATGGTTGTTGTTGTTATCGTTCCAGTGATGGAAATGATCAGCTTCGTTGTTAGAAGAACTATCGTCCATAAAAGTGTCATCGGAACAGGCAGTTTCATCGGCATCTCGTCGAATTCGGGTCTCTAGATCTCTCTCGTACTCCTCCGTCTTTTCCTCTTGGGAAAACTGTGCTCTCATTTCCCGTCTATCTTGCTCCCATCGTGCCCTATCCTGGTGATATCTCTTGCGCGGCATTACGTTGATCAACCGATTCCATTAGAAGCAAAGACAATTGATTCCAATGACTCTCTCGTATACCGGTACTCCCGTGCTCCCATGCAACGAGCCAGTCAGCCATAGTCGAAGAACATCAAGGAGATCGATGGTTGTAGATTCTTAGTCACACTCGTGACTTATGAAACAAGACAGGGAACCAGTCCCATGCAACAAAACAGGGAACCAGTCCCATGGATCCATGCATCGTACTGGTACCTTGCAATGGAATTCAGATACCGGTACCGTACCAACATGGGAACAGTGCGGAGCCACCATGCAAGCAATCATGTATTCCTCCAAGCATTTTGCATGTTGTTGTTTAAGATCCATGTCGTTCTTAAAGAGCCATGCTCACGGATTTGGTACTGCAGTGCAACGAAGGGAACGGAGAGTTTCTTCTCGGCAAGTTCGGTCGTGCATGGTTTTGTTGTAGCATTCTGTAAGCTCCCAGTGACTTGTTGGCTCCAAACCTGGCAGGTTCGCCCAATCAATCGTGTTCCTATGAACAATCCAGTTTTTGTTGTTTCTGTATTCTTGAATCACAATCAGCCAGCATACAAAAAGGCAAGAGATCAACCTTACAATGAATAACGACGATGGAGCTATCCGTCGAAATCCAATTCGACAAGCACGGTACGTCATTGCCAGTCCTTTGAGTTTTGAACCAACAACGAATCCCAGTTGGAACTCGCTTGCCGATCCAAATGCTTTTGAAGTAGCAGGACGCGGTACACACATGTTAGTTGGTCAACTCGAACCTTTGATTCGTGGAATGGTTGAAGCCACTGCTTCTGTCGCAATCGAAGCGACCCAGGCGCAGTTGTCGTTGTCACCAAGGATGAACATCACAATGACCAGAAACAGTTTGTCTTTTCTCCGTCGATCACTGCAGGAGAATCGACAAGCTCTGCTTATGCGTCTGGAAACGCAGTATGGTGTCCGAATGTACCAAAACCCAGAGGAGACGACTGAACTATTTGACATCGACACGTTGTCGTTTCCAGGGGAACGTACAACTTCCATCAGGTCGAGAGGTAGTCCTGGAACAGAACGACCACAGGCAAGCGAGTCAGAGTACTGTGCATTTTCTTTCATGGGTACTACGTTGAGATTCTTTTCCGCTTACCTCGATTGGATGGATGAAAAGGTTGATGAGATTGCCCATGGTGGTTTTGTCGACACTGATATCTATGCGCATGCTTGTCGGCATTTGTCAATGCACTTCAAGAAAACCCAACAGATTTTCACTGTCAAAACGATTTATCCGCCCAGTGTGATGAGTTTGAATTCATTTCGCCGAATGGAGAATGAAGACAACTACGATGCATTAACACGCTACTTTTACAATGGTAGTGATCGTCTGCTTTAGACGCACTGAAGCTGCAACGTATACGGATGCTGCAAGCAACAGCAAAGAGGAAAGGAGAATAGATGTCAGCAAGCAAGTAGATAAAACATAATAAGCAAAGTAGAACCCATGTACCGGAATAGATTGCCCCTGCCTTGACTGCAGAGGACAAAGAACTTGGGCAGAGCCTCTCAAACCTGTCTTCCAATCTGAGATCGACTGTCGCGAGACCAACTTCCCTAAGCTCCGATGAAACGTGAGCCCAGTGGGAAGTTTCGTACAACACTTGAGTCGTTCTCTTTTTAGAAGCATCGATTCAATAGCACTGATGTCCTTGGCACTGATAGCTAGAGTGCTCCATCTAGAGAGAGGTTATGGCAACCTTGAGTCGACTACCTCTTTGTTCTCGACCAACAAAGTTCGACCCACTAGGCGAGTAGTTCTTGAATGTTTCCTGGAGACGTGTTTGGCCATTCTTCGGATGTGTTTTGAAGGTGCATTCCTTAAGGATACCCATTCCAGTTGAAGAGACAAAAACGAGAACCGTACTCGTGAGAGTTGGCCAGTCAATCGAAAGAGTCTCAAGGAACAAGCGATCCTGTTTCATTAGGCAAAGCCGCAAGGTTTCTGCTGGTGGGTGCTGGTTGAAGAATAATACTTTGCACATGGCTTTGCAACATTCGTGTTTCGTAGAGAGCATATTTCAAGAACCAAAAAAGTCAAGAAACAACTCAGTGGTCTCATCATGCTTTTGCATTGCTACCGCATCCCTGTTGAAAATGTTCACCAGCAATCATGGATAGTGCATTGCCTCGAGGAGGACACACTTGATTCATCCCTTCAGCACGACACTGTGCATGAAAAACAAGGCCAAGGTCTAGCTAAGATTACAATCGTAATCGATTCTAGCAATTCATTCTTCTCCAAGAAGAACCATGGATTCCTATTTGTATTGTTGTCTCGGGTCAATGGTAGAGACTTCTGCGGTGTGGCGGAATCTCATCAAAAAGGAACACTTCACTGGCATGGCCTCCTCCTTTGAACACCAGCAGTTTCTGAAAATCTAAGCAAAAGGAGATAAAGTCAAGTAAGCTCTTAGATAACACAAGCACGATTTGAGACACACAAGCAAACGAATGCAATTGCCTACCTCTCTGATCAAACCAAGGATGTAGCGTCCCCGGGCGGGGTATCAAGATGAAAATAGGCGCGTTCCTCCGGAACGTTTTCATCGATCCGTCCAAACAGATACTCAAAGCATTTCCTGCAACCGATCTTCCTGCATTTATTGCATCCGGGTGCGCCGTGATCTTTCCATGAGACTTTTGGATAGTCGTACTCACCGGCAGTCATTAATCGCTTCGTTGACATGCGATGAGATGTTTCAGATGATGCATCCTTACGAGACAATAAACATCTGAAACCTTCGATACGAAAAAGTTTGTGCATCATCGCGTATTCGAAGCACGCTCTCGGAGCATATTTCAATAGCTCTTGCATCTTGACTTCAACAGGGGCTGGCAGATTACGAGACATATTGCTTTCTCTGTCCGCAACAACAACCGGGAGCGGCTGAACCCAAAGAACAACCGGGCTTCCTTTGTTGTGGCCCACAATGCCAGCAAAGGGTACCGAAACAGTTGGATCCAATGGATCCTTCCATTCCGGATATGGCCTTGAGAGATGCAACAAACTGCACCTTCGCAGATAATTCCGTGGGTTCACGAGGTAATGGGCGATCCCCCCTCTCTGCACACGAACCGCAACTAGTGTCGGCAATTCATCTTGTCGGGACTGGCCATAGCTAGGGATCGCAAAGCATCTCCAAGAAAGAACCTCTTCCCCACATGCCGGTGGATACCCATCTTCGTCCAACTGGAGAGTTCCTTTGTCCACTCTCTTTGGAAGCGGCAAGTTCCAAAGATTTGTAATCGATGAAAATGACGCAAATCGATAGGGCTTGTCAAAAATATACGCAAGACAAGCATACAATTTTGCTTGTTCTTCCACCAGAAAAAATCTGTGGTTGCTTTTTGAGTCCACAAAAGAGGATTCGTGCGTCGGGAAAAGCGCAAAATCGGCCGGCGGAGTGTACATGTACTGGACTCCGTTTTCCATCACCATCAAGCTTGCACAAAAGAAATCAAGCTCGGATATGACTTTGTGTCGGAGACGTCTCCTCATATCATGAGTGCTGTAGCTCACGAGAACATTCGTCGACGTTTGTGTGTGCTTCTTCTCTAGTAGCTTCTTCTGAGACTTGAACCGAGATTTTGTCAACTTTGCTCTCGCTAGCACCTGACCTTTAGCGTATTTGTTGCTGTCAAAGTCGTTTCCGTACTTTAGCATGGCTGTTTTCATACTCGCAGACGAGTTTTTCTTGCTGTCGCTCGGAACGAGATTGTCATTATCCGGTTGCGTCATTTTCCCACCACCTTCATTCTTGTCGGTCAATGCATTTTGCACTACCTCTAAAACCTGTTGAGTTCCATTCGAGAAAGCAACATTCTCTTCTTCTGGGAGAACCATTTTCCCTTCGTCGTAGTGTTTCAACGGGGGTCTAGGCCGGATTGCCCTCTGTGGTCGTAGACAACACGTTTCGAGAAGATCCTCCAATTGGCTTCTTCGACGCCTTCGATTTGGTTGCACGGTCCGTTCATTGTTGTTGTTGGATCGTGTTTCACTGGAAGGTTGTTGAAGTGCACAGCTAGAGGTACTCGCCTCGGCGCCAGTTGAGTCTTTTCTTGGCTGGCAAGCACTTTCTGCACCATTTTGGAGCTCAACAACAAGTTCATCAGCAGCTACATTTCGTTGTTTCCATTTTGCCATCTTCTTTTTTTGTCGAGCTACATTTCGTTTGTAGTTCTTGTCTTTCCTCTGTTGCTTCTTCCTGTTGAGTTCCCATCTAGCAGTCTTCCTCATATCAACTGATTGTTGGTCAGCCTCACACCCACCAAATTCATAGTGAGGAGGCAAAACAAATCCATCAGGCATCTTGCAACGAGTCAGAGAAAACATTTCATCAGTGGTCTGGCTGTTACTTTGAAGGCACTCTCGAACAATGGATTGAGGACGTAGAACAGTTGGCGGTGAACAACTTTGTGTAAGTAGCTGGGTTTCATTTGGCTCGTTGAGATCCAAGCTGTAGAACTTGGAGCCACTCATTCCTTGGAATGACACATTCACAATCTCGTTCATGATCGACTGGCCATTTCGTTGTTCCCATTCAAACCGTTGCTCACTGTCAAGCCGTTCACTGCGCACCAGCTTCATGCTGAAAAGTTTTGTCAAGGGTATTTGTTTGGTGTGACTCCTTGACTTGACTTTGTTTTGCTTCTTGTTCGGCCAAGACGCCTTGAAAAACTGAGCAGTGGTAGCAGTGCCAAATCTATCCACAAGACATTGCTTCAAAAAGCACAATGGCTCCATAACTTCCATTTCTCCAGAACCAGGCTTCCACGCTTCAATGAAGCCGGTTGAAACGTTGTATTTTAGATACGGTATCCCAGGAAATACCGTGTCCCGCATTTGCCTCCCCTTCCAAGATTCCGATGTGTTCACACTTTTGGTCTGACACACGTTTTCCTCGCATATAGCGATGGATTCCCCAATGTGATTGGAAGATGCTCGAAGTAAATCTTGTGTTGTCTCATAGTGACCATGCTTTAGGTACCAAGCATTGGCCAAGTCTGAGTCAGCAACGTTTGAGAAAATGCGGTGGAATCCTGTGTCCGGAGGGACTTCTGCATGACCGAGCAAATCTGTTGGGAAAATTCCGATGATTGCTGCAACACCAATCAAAAGGTGAGCAGACAATCTGCCCACAGAGGGTATTCCACACACATGATGTTGTTTGTACAACAAGCATACTGCTGGATCTGTTGGAAGATTTGTGTCATCGTCCAAAGAGCTGCTCATTGAGATGATGCAACAGATTTGGTGATAATAATCTGCAATGTTCGAGCGCAGCTCTTTTTGGTCAAGCCGCCACAGATGGATACCACATTCAATCAATGTTGCAGTCGATATTGAAAGCTGTTTCCTGGTCATTCGGATGTTGTGAAACGGCTGCATCCTCAGGTGGTTTTTGCTTCCTCCATTTAGACGAATCGCCTCCTCCTCCAACCACATGCCTTCATAGACGTTCAACATAAAGTCAATACAGTCACATTCTTCCACATGTTTATTGCAATGACAACAGGGATCAGAGTCAATTCTTTTCATTGCGTTGAAAAATAGACTGGGTTTGTGCCCTGCTTTTGTAGCAATCACCAAAAAGCCCGCGGCCCATTCCTTTGGATTGGACAGCTGAAATTTCCCTAGAAACTGCCGAATCAGAATAGCAAACACAGCATAGTACACTCCAGCTTTGTTCAAGTGAGGAGCAGGCAGCTGGTATGGATCTTCTGTTTCTTGTACCAGCCGAGGTATGCCTTTCAAATTTTAAGAATGATGGAACAATCGATGAGAGCTATTGATTTCAACAACGTCAAAACATTCCATTACCGTACCTTTCAGATTTCGTGGCATGGAGTCGTAGTTCCGTTTGAGTGCCGCTAAGACAGGGCGATACACCTCTACCTTCTGCACAAAATCATATGCAGCTTGTTTTCCATAACCGATAGCACCCTGACGTATGAGAATATCTCCGTCATTATCATACAGCCATTCCGTTGCAGCAAAACTTTGCTGAAATCAGAATTGCTTGCATCGTTTTGAAAATCTGCATGGATGTCAGAGTAATGATCGCCTGGTGCCACCACAACTTGATCTAAGAGAGCAAGTTCATTGGCCTCATCAGCACTAAGGCAGCTCCACATTTGTACAGACCAGGACAGGTCATGCCCTTTGAGATGTTTCCCTAGTGTTTTGCACGTCTCGCTGCATTCAACAGACTCCAACAATTCTTCAACCACTGCCTTCTGCTTGCGACGATGGAGAGTGATTGCCTCCGCATATCCTCCAGATGAAGCTTCCGCTTCTCCAGTCAATCTGGTGCCAAACTGCTCGCGACGAAAGCGAGCGGCTTTATCGTCCCTTCTAGCTCCAAACACATTCTTGAAATGCCCCCCCGCCCATGTACCAAGGTCGGTGGCACAACGATTCACAGATACTGCCATATCTTTTACCCACTCATCATCAGAAAAGCGAAATCGGTTGGGTCTTGGTAATCCCATAGAATCCATTGAGCGAACAAGGTTGTTGTTTCCGCAACACCCCAAATTGATTGTAAAATTTCCACGGTTCTGGTCCACACTTCCATGACCGCAATCGTCCATTCTGGAATACAAGTCAAGCATATTCAAGCCACAATCTGACAAACTCGAAACTCGGTTGTCCACCACGATGAACCCTCCAGGATCCTGAAATCTTCTATCCAGTGCATCGACAAACTTGACCCGAAAGTCACTGGACGAGCAAGAAAGGAAAGAAGTATGAGCCTGATTGTCGGTTGTTTTTATGATTATTCGACATAGACGAATGAATGATACAACGTACCGATTACTCTGGCTCAATTTCCTTTCCAGCGCATATGCCGCGGATAAGTACTTCCTACCCACCCCCCTCTCAAGAAGATAGTGCCATCCTTTGCCAAGTTGTTTACAAAGATACACCTACAAAAGAGGAAAAAACACAAATTTATAGAGAAGACTCTCACATAGTAGCTTGCTCCACAGCGACACAGTCAGCTCTTCCAGTTGCTCACCTGTCGAACAGCAGGTGGAATAATCCACAGACAGCGAATCTTCTTTTCCCAGCGATCTAGATTGATTCTGTTGTGGGTTGTGATTTTGGGATCCACAATCCAATCATCTTCATCGGCTGGCTCCTCGATAACGAATACCGGGGCTTGCTCATTCAATGCTCTCTGTAGATATTCGTACGAGGTGATACACTCACGACAAGCATCACTGCCAGATTCCAACACGGACTGAACAACCATATTATTCTTCGAAAGTGAGAAAGAACGACCAAATCATCTGTTAGAAGCAATCAAGTAAATCAAGAACACCCACTCAATGCTGTGAGTCAACTGGATGATTCAATGCTTTCTTGGAATTCTGTAGTGTGTTCTTCTGGCGTTGCTGTTCTCATGTCGATGCTGTTGCTTCAAAGTGTTCTCTTGGTTGTTGTTGGCTGGGTGTGTGTCATTCCTGTGGTGGGTCAGGCATTGGGTTTGGAAGTCGAGCAATGCCGACATAGCGCAGTCAAGCATTGGAAAAAGAGTTCCTCATTCAGTGTTGGGTCAAAGGTGATTCAAATGTTGTTGTTGGTGTAGGTTGAGATATGGTGTCAGAGCCTGAGAGAAGTGCTAAACGGCGTTTCTTGATATACTGAAAGCATTCAACCTCGGCGTCATCCATGAAGTCATTGTACGGTTCGTAAGTAAGGGATCCATCGGCCCATTTCACTTGGAAATTTGTACAGAGACCCTTTGAACAACGCATCTCCTTGATCGAAGGGTCCCTGGTGGGAAACAATCTTGACAAAATCGTGCTTCTTTTGAACAACATTTTGCTGCTGGTGTGGCCATACAAAGCTGTCACAGAGTGGTGGAGCAGCCTCATGAACACCAGCATCATTGACTGTCATGACAGTCTTCATTCGATCATCATAGTAATACAGATGTCGAAGAAAAGGAATCAAAGCCTGATTCTTTGAAACTGATCCATCAAGAACTGCGTCAGATTCCAATGTACTCATGGAGGCAATCAATTGTGTTGCTTCTCTCTCAGTCGTACGAAGAAAGAAACTTGCAGATTTCACAACTTCTTTCCAGGGTTGTCCATGTCGTTGTAGTCGCTTCTCAATTTTGTATCTATCCGACAAAAAGGACAAAGATCCAGAGTCTATATAGGTCAAGACTTCCGGCAGCAAGCAAGGGGGAAAGTACGCCACGTAACAACCCAATTTCACTGCCTCGATAAAGCACTTGGAAGTCAGCGAACTTGGAGAAAGCCTTTCCAATCTTGCAGTCATGGATCGAAATGTACCACTCCGTCTCGTCACCCCATAACCACCCGTTCTCAGTTGATGCAAGCATTCCGTTGAGATGTACTCATTCTTGTCAGTGAACTGAGTTTGTGAGATAATCCAATGCAGAATTTGATCCCCTTTGATCACACCACAAGGAATTTTGATTCTCCTTGTTGCAAGTTGCACCAAAAGAGAAAGAATGGAGCCATTCAAACCTTGTCGTAGCACCACTGCCAGAACTGACCCAACAAAGTCCTGAATGAATTCCCCTGCCCGAGTATCTGTTTTCACAATTGCGTAAATGGAGCAAATTGCAACATTCAAATTGCCCTCTCGGACTACCCAATCAATGTTGCTGCTGCTATCAAGTCGAAGGGCCACCAAAGCCCGCCCGGACTGGAACCGACAGTGTGGACTCATCGATCGTTGCAAGTCCTTCACTCCTCGAAGCAATGGAATATAAGTGGTTGCTTTCTTCACAAAATGGTCCACTGAGTCTCTTCCCGTTCCTGTTAAGGCAACTCTTCGAAGGCCCCCAAGTTTCTGCGAGTTAACCCACACAGAAGTGTTTCCAACAGGGCTGGTACGTGGATGAACACTGTTCCGATGGTCAGTATGAAAAAGAATGTGTTCATTGATCCCGTTATCCGATAATCGAATATATGGGAGTGCATTTCTCGGGTGAATCTCACCAGCAGCACATCGGTGAGCAACCCCTCTTCTTGGATGAGCATCTCGAGCAAATCTGGGACCGTTTGACTTCAGAGTGTCAAACGTATTGGTGAATCCCAAGAAAATCTCAACAGCTTGTGGGCTGAAGGATAACCCATTTGTCCCGTGAAATCCTGGTCTCGCAAGACAGGCGAAGGTTCTTGTCCGAATGGAGTTATGAAAGCCAGTGACACCCAAATCCAAGAACTGATGTCCGCGCTGGTTATCATGGGAAGTATGCTCAACTAGCATGTCAATGACAGTGCTCCAGCTAATCATTGAAAGGATGCGAGCTGACACATCGCTCACAACATACAAAAAGTCGTCCCGAAATACATTCGTTTGATGTATTCTGACAAAGTTCCTGCGACAACTGATGTCAAGTAGATGATCGTCAACAACAGAAATTGGTTGTATCACATGCACCTCAATCAATTGTCTTCCACCCAATCGTTTATTCGCAGCGCTGACATAGCCAAGCAACTTGTCCAACCACGATCTTTCCTCTTGTCCATGCGGAACTGTTTTCAGTTGAGCCGCCACATAGAACTGTAAACCATTGTAAGATTCGTTCTTTCAAGCAAGTTCACAAATGTAGAATATATGATATAAGCTTACCTGAGACACATCTGGGTACAGGACGTATACCCTTGCCACATGCATCAAATAGTATTCAACACTGCACCGTTGAGCAATTGATGTTGGACCTTGATGTGATGGCGGTGGCACTTCAAAAACCAATAGGTGTCCTTCCAGTCGCACTCGTTCAGCAAGCTGCGCATTCTTGCTAGCAAAAATCATCCTTGGCCCCAACTTATCCAGTCAACCACAATCAGAAGAAGCCTTACGCTCCAGAATGTCTCACCTATAAAAAGCAAACAAAGAGATGAACTGAATCATTGACCAGGAACTGTGGCAGCAACAATGAGTCCAGCCATCAATTGCCTCACCTATATATGAAACATCAAAAGCCAAGGGCAAGTCAGTTGACCAGAGCTCTAACAGATGACAAGTCAGTTGACCAATGCTCCAACAGATGCACTGAAACATTGACCTGGAACTGTGGCAGCAACAATGGGTCCAGCCATCAATTGTCGCACCTATATATATGAAGCATCAAAAGCAATGGGCAAGTAAGTGCACCAGAGCTCCAACAGATGAACCCACACATTGACTTGCAGCAACTACTAGAGCAACAACTTGCCCAGCCATCACATGTCTCACCTATCATAAGTAAGAATGGAGCCATAGAACGAGAAAAGCAAGAACGGACAAGTTAGGCAAAAAACTTCAACCAGCATCAGCCAGCAATATTGACCAAATTTGGGGCCGCCATGCGAATTAAATTTAATCAACTTGCCTTAGTATCGATAACACCAGGCTTCAATTTTGTCCTCCGTTATTGTTTTATTTTTTTTTTCAATTCTTTGTGTCGACGCTCCTTAGCTACGAACGCCGCAGCAAACTCGCTTTGAACGGCGGATTGTCCTCCGTTATTGTTGATTCTTTGTGTCAACGCTCCTTAGCTACGAACGCGGCAGCAAATTTTTGAACGACAGAGCGTGGGTGGCTCTCGTATCGGAAAACTCAAATGAAGGTAGATTCACAGCCGAAAAGACAGTTCGATGCCTTTTGTAGTATTTGACCGTGCAATTAATGATCTCGGATACCTCTCAACAGCAAATATGTGATCAATCTCCCTGAGCCCGGATGAAACACGAATCCAGTGGGAAATGAATAATATGATGGTTGTCGTGGCGGATTCGTCTTGTTTTGTTCTTGCTACTTCTATCCCAGCAAATTGATGCTGTTATTGACCGCACAGGATAAAGAACTTGGCTAGAGCGTCTCAAATCTGTCTTCAATCCGAGATTGACTGTCGCGAGACCAACTTCCCTAGGCTCCGATGAACGTGAGCCCAGTGGGAAGTTTCGTACAACACTAGAGTCGTTCTCTTCTTAGAAGCATTGATATGATGGCGGCTGCTACCGACGCTTGTGACTGCCACTCTTTCCTCTTGTTCTTTCCGCCCCCCTCGAGGAGATCCGATCCTGCCACAGCACTCTGGTGCCGCTACCAGAGATCACCAACAGACAACACAGCTGCTGCTATCAGCCGCAGTCAAAGCAGTGATGATATGATGGATACGGCCGTGCTATCAACCACAGCAGCCGCAGAAGCGATCTAATGCCGCAGCAGCGATCTAATGCCGCCGTCAACGGCAGACAACGCCGACGCCAAGCACAATCGACTCTGGGATGGAAGAGACAACTGATGCTACAACAGAATAGTCACTCTGTCCTTGTCTGTTCAACAAAACCGCTTTCGACACTCTACCAACAGCAGGAACAACTTGAAACCAAAGGCTGCGTCCAACAAGATTGTGTCTCCCAGCAAATCTCAATTTGGGAATGACCCTGTAGAACCCAGTACAATTTCTACTGGCAAAAATGTTCAACCACTGGCCGCCGTGTTGAGGCAAAATTCTGACAGACCAACCCCAGAGAAAAAGATGGGTTGGCGAATCGAAGCAAGCGGCGGCCTCTGCCATCACGCAAAGATCGACAGCGAAGCGATGTTCACTGTGTCTTCATTGTCGCTTTTCTTCTTCTTCACTCCATTTTCAATCGAAGAGAAGATCGACACTCGATTGTTTTGCACCAGAAGCACGCAGCATAGCGGCTACAGTCTGTATCATGACTAGTTCTTCTACTGGTCCTCCGCTGATTCTCTCCCCCGAGGTTTTCCGAGCCAGATTCGCCATCCTTCGCAAGCACTATGAACGAAATGGCCATTGTCGCGGTGTAAAGAATGGTAGGATTACTGACTTTACTTCCATGGTCCGAAGTGGAACGATCCAGTTGGCCCCATGGCAACGCGGTGCCTTAGAGTCGATCGAGTTTGACTTTGAGACCCACCGGCAAAAGGCGGAATGGTTGGCAACCTTCTACATGCTCTCCCACTTGCTCCGAATGGGTCACACTATCGATGACAAGATGAAACAGTGGATCCACACGCAAAAACTTCGTCACCTCCACAACAAGTTGTCGAAAGATCGAGTGGCTCTCCTCAACAACATCCACTTTGATTCAATCCCGCATATGCTGCAGGATGTCGTGGAAGAACCCCGTAACAGCTCGGACAATACAGGCATTTTTCTCGGAACCACACCCTGCCACTCAGGCAGTCCAACCGGCGCCACAACCAGCTTGCCCGCTCAAAGTCCATTCGGGGCAGCTCATGTCATTCCACGGGAAAAGCGGACCGCATGGGACTCGTATTTCCAGGCTCTTCGCACGAACATCGCCGCCGACCTGGTGGACGCCGACCTGCGAACTTGGATTCGCGAGCAACAGGTCAACTACCATAGTCTCACCGAGTACCGTCGCGAACGATTGAAAGAGATTGGATTGGGTTCCTCCGATCACGAGGACAAGTTGCAACGGAAACGAACCAAAGGAATGAATCAGCGGACTCTCTACTGGGACGACATGTGGGAAGACTTGAAGGCGTGTCGTGATCACCATGGTAACGATTGGTTGTCGACTGTTCCGGAAGAACTCGGCAAGTGGTTGCGACGACAGCGACTCTTGTTGGACTCGGATCAACTGTCGGATGCCCGGCAAGCCAAGTTGGCGTCCATTGGCATTGTTCCAATATACGAGGAGGGCGTGTCGGCGTTGGCAACCAAGAAGTCTCATGATCCTCTCACAATGACTGCGCCCCACCAGGGTATCCGTCGAGTGAGCTTGTACTGAGCGAAGAACAATAGAAAACGAGAAACGAGAGAGATACAGAGGCAGGGAACACACGAACGAACAGGGACCGAGGCAGTCAGGTCTGCGCTACACGTTCGCCCCGGGCTATGCCATTCGATCCACACTCGCATGTACGATGGAGCAACACAGGAAGCGACTGCGCTACAACCGTACTCATAGGAACGACGATCAAAACAAATTCGATATCATTCATTCTTCGTGTACTTTGCTATACCGGTAGCAGGCCTCCACGTTCCTCGTACCGGTATGACAACGCTGGCTGTTGATTGAAAGCAGCTGCTACCATACTGTTATTCCTGTTGAAGAGTCCGCATACGGTAGATAAGGGACTCTAGATCAACTATTCTAGTCTCAGATGAGACTGCTACCGGTACCGGTACCTGTATCGGTACAGTACACGTACTGGTACCAGGTACCGTACTGACCAACTTGAAGCTCTGAAGTAACCAAATCCCAGTACGGGTACGGTACATGATGTAAATAAAAGAATCTTCGCCTAATACAGTTTACGCTGGCTTGTAATTTGAGAACCCACTTCTTCCGAGAAGCCAAATCCAAACCACAGCTCGGCACATCCAAAGCTGAACGGGCACTGATCTGTCGTCGACCATTTGGTCGCAGCATATTTCTACGATCCGAGTTGGAAGACCAAAACTACGGCTGTACGCCACCTTCCTCTTGTTGTGATCCACGGGTGCGCTTTTCATTGAAATTGCGGAAAGATGGGTAAGAAGTCGAAGTGTCGAAGTCAAAGACGGTTAACAAATCACAGCGGTTCTGCTCTGGTTGCCACAAGGTGGAATACGGAGATGTTCGGTTCAATCAATGCCCCCGATGCTCTGAAGAATGCTTTGTGCCAACGCTTTTCTGTTCCCAAGCGTGCTTCAAGAAAGCTTGGCCGGAGCACAAAAAATGGCATAAAAAATTAGGAGAGAAAGAAAAGGATGGCCTAAAGGAAGCCATTGAACATTATGAAAGAGTGAGACCGCAGAGAACACAGAGTACACAACCTGACCCTTATTTGTCCGGTCTGTCTCAAATGGATCCTTTTGTGAAGGCTGGAGACATCAATGGTGCCAAGAAATCCATGGAAGCTCTCCAGAAGCTTGACCCCTCACGACCAGAAGCATACCAGCGTCTTGCCGTATGTTTCGAGATATCAGGGCAAACGGCAGAATGTCAGGCATGCATGGAGGAAGCATGTAAGCGATGGGCATTGATTGCTCTGACAGGACAAAAGGAGGGTAAAGTTGCCACAGAAGGCTACATCAAATATGGCTTGGTTTCGTGGGCTTTGTGTGTTCATGCTGTCTTCAAGCGGTGCTGCGAAGCACTCTGCGTGCGAAACCAGATTGGTGGTGCCATGATGGAATGCTCAAACGCGTCACAAAGGTGGCACTCACTGCAGCCAAGGCAGGCCTAGAAGATCCAAAAGTCGCAGTATATTATTCCCATTCTCCAACAGAAGATACTATAGGCGCACTGGAAAATATGCGGGTCCAGGCGCTTTCTGGATGTAACGGTCAGCAAGCCATCCCTGTGACCCGCAAAGAGGAAGAAATAGAGGAAACCAAGAGAATGTTCCGGGGTGCCTTGGAAGATGTTGAAGGTGAAGCCAAATCCGACATGTTGCTACGCATGGGCAATGCCCTGAAACAGATGACTGCGGAGCAAACCAATGCTTCTGCTTTGGAGTGTGGAGAAGCTGGTTTGTGGGTCCTTGTTCATGGCCTGAGCTGCCAAACTGGACAGCCACTGAATGGCAAACTGGGCCTGGTCTTCAAGGATGGATTGGTAAATGGTAAAGTTGCTCTGGAACTTGAAGGAGTTGAGGAATTCTATTTACTCCAGCCCTCCAATCTACAACAACTCCCATTCTCGGAGCAACAATTGGCCCTCATTTCTACCCTGGATAAAGCAGAGCAGTGGAAGTATGTGCGAGGCCGCTTCATCCTGGGTGAAGATGCTCGCCGTTTCTTGGCTAGCTAGTTATTAGAGCCAACCAATCTCCCCAGCGTAAAAAATACACCGTGACTTTCGAAGCTATTGTAAATCAGCTTAACCGGCTTTGTAGTTTAACAGTATCTTTGCGTTGAGCGACGAGCCCACTCCAACACCCCCCCTCGCAGGTCGCAGAAGCCGAAGACTCACTTGTCGGTTCACTCCCTCGTGCCACCAAACGAAGCTCTTTAATAGTTCATCATGTCCGAGGAAGCTTCTCACAGTAAGAACAATGTCAACGATGGGTCGGATAATGAGGCTGACGGCGGTGTACGACGGAACTGGGAGGCATCGTTCTTGGCTCTGCTCGACTACAAGAACATTTACGGCAACACGTTGGTTCCGTCGGCCTACGAGCAAGACACTGCCTTGGGCCATTGGGTCCGCAAACAGAGGCGATACGAGTCCTCGGGAAAGTTGCCTCCCGATAAGCGTCAGAGATTGGACGCGATTGGATTTGTATGGAAGCTTCGCGGTGAGCAACTTCCAGAACGACAGCCGTCTACCAGACGTCAACAAAAAGAAAAACCAGCACAACAAAAAGAGAAACCAGCACAACAAAAAGAAAAGCCACCCCAGCATGTGCTGTTTCAAAAGCCCAAGCCAAAACCAGAGCCAATGCAAGTTCGATCGGCGAGTCTTACTTCGGAGAACCACAAAGCGATTAGTGCTGCAGCTCTCAAGAAGCGAAACTGGGACGAAAGTTTTGAGGCTTTGGTAGTCTACAAGGAAGAGTTTGGTCATACCAACGTGTCCAGAAGGTAAGTAATATATTCGTTGGAGTGCCTTTTCTTGTGCTCTTTTTAGTATCCCTTTTGATCAGCGTGGAACTGACGCGTTTGCATATTTAATGTGAATGTAGCTACCATGACCATGCGCTTGGCCAATGGGTAGGGAAACAAAGGAGACAACAATCCAAGCTTACAAAGAAACAGCGTGAAAATCTCAAGTCTCTTGGATTCGATTTTGCACGTGTTGGCACGAGAAGTAAGGATGTCTGGGAGGATAACTTTGCCATGTTGGCACAATATCAAGAAGAACACGGAGGTAAGCACGGTGCTGAAGGAAATAATGACATGGTGTAGATGCTCATGTTCATTTGTTGCGATATCTGTTCAAATTGCCAACAGATTGTATGGTGGATGAAGACCATGAACTTTCAGCGTGGGTAGCCGAGCAACGTCAATCGTTTCTAGAGGAAAGGTTGCCCCCCAAACGAGCAAAGTCGCTAGAGTCCATTGGGTTTCAGTTCTATACCGACCCATCTATATTGGACGACATCAACATTAATAGAAAGGGCATCACGGGTAAAAAAGAGAAAACTTCACTCTCGGAGAGATGGGGAGTGCAATACGAAAGTCTTGTCCTGTTCTACGAGCAAAATGGACATTGCCTAGTGTCGAGGGGCACGCACAAACAACTCAGTTACTGGGTAACACGACAACGACAACTCAATCTGCAAAACAAGTTGAAACCAGAACGAAAGGAACTCCTGGATGAAATCAACTTTGAATGGTACAGCGGTATCAACGAACTGCCAGAGCATTACTTTGACGAAATGCTGCAACGCCTGGAGGACTTCAAGTTAGAATTTGGTCATGTGGAAGTACCGATAAGTTATCGGAGAGGCGGTTTGGGACAATTCGTTGAGTCGATGAAGTTGACAGGGGCAGAAGGCCAAATGTTACCGGAAGAGGCCCAAAAGCTCTTGCGGCTCGGCTTTGCCTGGACAGAGAATCGAAAATCATGGTTCAAGCATTATGAAAGGGTTGCCGACGAAATAGAATCAAGTCGAGGTTGTAATGAATTGATGCTGTCTGGGAGATCAGAGAGGTGGCTGAAAGTGCAGTTCATGCTCCTAGAGTACGATCTCCTGCTTCCAAAGCGAGTGGAAAAGTTAGAAGACTTGGATGCTGAGTGGGATGGAGAAACGCTGTTGTCGAAGGAGAACGATGGAACCGACAACACTCCGGGGGATAACTCGGATTCTGACAACGAAATCTTCTCGACGGGAGCCATGTTCAAAGCTGCGGCGATGGCATGGTCGCCTGACGGCAAGACGAAGCGTGTTGATGTCCCAGAGCAGCAGAAGGCGAATCGAGCAGAAGACACAACCAATCAAACAGGACCTGGCACTCCAGCGAAGGATCAGGAACAAAGCGCTATGGATATCAGTCCGACAGAAACCAACCATGATGACAGCGGCAAGGACTGTACAGGTCCAGAAGCCGCGGAAAAAGACTCTGACACAATTCAACAATCTGAATCTACGGAAGGCCAAGCTGCCGCTGACAGTGAAGCCGAAAGAGTCGATCAAACCAACGCCCCAGCGCCCGAAAGCGGGGCTGAGGCTGGGCCCGCGGAGCACGATACCGCCTCGACAGAGAAGATTGATACCGACAAGGTCGAGGGATCCAAATCCAGCACGGACGAAACCCGGCCGACCCAGTCCAAGCGGCAAAGTCCAGATACCGAAGAAGCCGAAAATGCGACTGCCGGCGATGTTGTGGAAGGGGAACCACTGCCAAAGAAAGCACGAGTGGAGAAGGTCGACGGTGAACAGCACAAGCAGGAGACACCGATTGACCCTTCCGATGGCGTAGCAAATGCAGCAGAAAACGCGAAGACTGAACCAGAAACGAAGCCGGCGGAGACAGGCGAGTCCGTTGCCGACGAATCACAGGACACTGATAAGTCCGCTATGGATACTGGAGAACCAGAGCAGAACAAAGACGACGAGGTTCCACAAAAAGAACAAGAAGCAGTTGATGTGTAGGTTGTGGTTTAGTTAGACGTTGTAGAAATGTATTTTTGCTAGAAGCTGTGTAGAAATGGATGTTTGCTTGAGTTTGTGTACTTTTGACGTTGTAGAAATGGATTTTTTGCTTTCGCGATCAAGCCTGATGCTACCGGTATGGACCATGAAAACACATGCACCTTCCAGAAGAAATCTTGCAATCTGCGATGATAATAACCAGCCGGATCACCTCCTAAAACTAATGTAACCTGTAGTACCAGTCTTCCTTGTCGATTCCGTACGAATTTGCATAATGAGGCGCATCCTTGTATTTGCATGCACGCCACAGCGACACCACCGTCGCCACGTTGGAGTCAAAGGTTCCAACAAAGTAGGTTGCATCCGTCATGAGGTACAGGTCGGCAAAGAATTCGAGTGCATTTTCAAAGTTTTCATATGCCAGATCATTTTCCAACCCGGAGGCTTCTGCCCGGGTCAGATGATAGACCGTGCAGTTGACACCATAATGCTCCAATGCGGCATTCACCTCGTAGACTGCAGAAAAATCATCCGAGGAGACAAAGCAACTGTCGATGTTTTTGTTGGGCGCCACTTTGAGGAGCTTTTCGACATAATTTTTGCCGGGATAAATCGTGTGTTCTTTTTTCTGATCCGCTCCTCGTCGCACATGAAATGCCACGGACGTTCCTTCACGAAGATTGGGGATGCCATTTCGTTGGATGAGGTATTCAATTTCCGCCTTGGCGCGGGGATTCAACTGAAAGCTGGAACATGCTTCTTGTACAAATCGATTGTAGAGCGTATCTCCATTGGTGCCGTACTCCTGCTCAAAGGCGTTTCGGTATCCCTGGAAGAGTGACGACATGATTTCCACCTTTCCTTTCTGCAGGGGGCGTCGTGTTCCCAATTGAAAGACTTTGGCATAATCCGGAACTCCAAAGTGGCGTTGGAATACCTCCTTCCACTCGCCTTTTGCCAGGACTGGAAATTTGGGAGTAAAGAATCCCTTGATCATTCCCACAGTTTCGTTCCAACTGTATCCGTACTCGTTATCATCGACAATGAATCCACGGTCGTGTTCGGTGTAATAAATTTTCTGTCCCATGACATTCATCAATTGCGAGCAGAGGCCACTTCCACGGACCAGCGTGAGAGTTGTCATTTCATGGCTATCAATAATATTCCTGTAATACTCGACCCCAGCGCCACCTTCAAAGTCGTCGCCATCCTTGTCGTCGTCGCAATCCCCTCCAAAATCGACAAAGAGCATGACCAACAACATAATCAGCAGGATCGTCACGGCGCCACACCAGAGTTTCCCACTGGTCATGGCGGCATTATAACTGGCCTCGTGTTCTTTGAGAACCATATCTTCCATATCGCCTTCTTCTTCATCGCCCGGTTCATCTCCAAATTCTTCCCGAACCGTATCGGAAAAGGGAGCTTCAGTGCTTTCGTTCAACAGAGATCGCAATTCTTTGCCTCCTGTCACTTTCGGAGGTGGTGTGGCCTCGGTAACTTCCGGTGGGGTAGCTTCTTCCGACGTCGGAACAAGTTCCATCTTGCTGCTTCGGAAATTAATTTTGGAAGAGCGGTCTACTTCTTGTGAGAGTACCAGGTAGTGAAAAATGAACTGGGGTTGTCGTGAAGCGACGAGTGGCAACCGGCAGCACCCAGAGAAGGCTCATGCGAGAAAAGTGGTCCGCGTGTATCTTGTCGATGGATATCCCCGAGCGTCTCACATTTTTCATTCTTTGTTGATGTTATATGCGTTTACAAACCGGCAGAGCTGCATTGGAATTGAGGTTCCGCACCTCTCGCCCTCTCCACTCACCAAAAGATAGCATTGTTTTCAAAGTTTCTTCAATCCTTGGGACAATATTATACATCGCTTCCAATGGATAGATTGTGTTGTACTAGTATATGACTTAGTTTTGGTGATCAGTTCCAACGATTGATTAGATGATGAACTACCCGTTGACCTCATTTGCATCAATGGTCCATTTAGAGGGGTAGTTTCAAGGACTGGTAACAGCTTCCATGCCTTTTTCAAAAGTGCGTGTTGTCTTGGTTGGTACTAATGATGATGTATAGAAAGTGGGGTACATTTATTACTTTTCCTTTTTTCCGTCCCCTGGTGATGGCTTGGCGAGACCGGCCAAGGTTCCCAACCCCACCAGCAAGAACAACACACCAAACGCACCATTCACATAGGCAAAGATACCCATCAGCTGGGTAAACTCTCCCTGATATACTTCCACAGCAAACGTGTTTGTCGAAATGGCCAGTTCCGTGTGGACCGTCACCGCAATTCCCGCGGCGACACCCAAGGCTGGAACGGCACGGTCCTCTGGCTTGATGTATTGGGCAACCGACAAGAGCAATATACCGCACAACAAAATAAAACAATGCTCCAGACGACCCGCCACGCAGGATGCACCCGTGTTGCTGGAGGAAGTCAGCGCTTCGAGTTCCTCCACAACAATTGTCGCTCCTTCCACAGCGGCTCGATAATCCCAAAGGTTCATGAGATTGACCAACGTAAAGAGAGTGCCCTGAAGCATAAAGACGCCCGTCGAAATTGCGCGAAACATCTTTGGAGTGGAGGGGATAGTAAATATATGAGGAGAACGAGCAGCGTCTGCTACTAGCTAGACCTTTGTCAAATGGGCCAAGGACGCTTCTTTGTTTCGAGTTGACAATTTCATGAGGGGAAGGGATGGGATCTTGTTCTTGTTCCCTGGTCTTCTTGTGAAAGATTCAGCCTGCAGAGCCGTACCGGTACCGGTACATGGGAGCGAAGGCAACGAAACCTTTCACGCTTCCACGTTCCTCAGGAAGAACAAGGACCAACAACCACACGGCAGAAAGCAAAGCTTCAACGAGCACACTTCAATCGACCACGGCGACATGAGCACAAGCGAGCAAAACAGCAAACATCGATTGGACATCCCATCGTTGTGGCCAGCAAAGTGGCCAGCAAAGAGGCTTCTCAAATACTTTTATGTCTGTTAGATTCACTCCAATCCAATAGCAGCAAAAGCAAGCAGAAGCAGGACAAGTTCTGGAGTCTGCCTTGGCTCTACAGGATCAGGTGAATGCAATCACGAATGCAGTTGTCCAGCAGGCAAGGACCAAGCTCAAATGTACCCCAGAAGATTCCTGCTTGCTCCATGAGGAACAAGATTTTCCCATTTGTTGGGACAGGCCAATTTGTCTTTGTGGCTCCAGTCAGTCACAACATGAAGAAGCTCTACAAAGAATACTGCGAAACTGCGAAGAATCCAGTGGTTTCTCGTAGGCTACCTTGTGATACTGTCTACAGTGCAGTGTTTTGTTCAGTGTCTCGTGCAGGCTATTGGTACACCCACCAACATGCTGGTGCTGGTGGACAAATTGATGGCAGTAAGGTATGTGCTATGGCTGCCAAGTTGGGTAGTCTTGAAGTTCTGAAATGGGCACGCAACAAGGGATTTGATTGGAATAGAACAACATGCAGCAATGCTGCAAAGAATGGCCACATGGAAATCTTGAAGTATGCCCATGAGAATGCCTGTCCATGGGATGGCCGTACATGCTGGCTTGCTGCCTCCAATGGCCATTTGGAGATCTTGAAATATGCCCATGAGAATGGCTGTNGCCCACGAGAACGGATGTCCATGGAATGAATCCACGTGTTGGTATGCTGCCTCCAATGGCCATTTGGAGATCTTGAAATATGCTCATGAAAATGGCTGTCCATGGGATGATCATACATGTCAGGCTGCCGCTGAAAATGGCCATCTAGAGATCTTAGGGTACGCCCATGAAAACGACTGTCCGTGGGATGAATGGACATGTACCGCTGCCGCCGAAAATGGACATTTGGAGGTTTTGAAATATGCTCATGAGAATGGCTGTCCATGGGATGGAAGAGCATGCTATTGGCCTGCCCAAAGTGGCTATTTGCAATGCCTCAAATATTCCATTGAAAATGGTTGCGACTGGCAAGAAGGTTTATTGAATCATTGTAGCCGTGGGTGTGAAGCGACAAGGGCTTGGGTTGAAGATTTTTTATCCAGCAGCAGAATGCCTTAAGACTCTCTTTGAATCGAAGCTCTGGTCACACCTCCGTTTATGCTTCTGCTGACTAAAAAGGAGTTGTAGCTAGCCAGCAAAGACGTTCACAGCACCAATTTGGACTCCACCTCCTACCAACACAAAATTCTCTCGTTGTTTTGTTTGCTCAGGAATGCAAGAAACTTTCCTAGAGTAAAGGCCCATGCATCCCTTTGTTGTTTCCGGGGATGGCATGCTTGATCCCCAAGCCAAAAGTCTTTTGCAACACCTTGCCACTGTCAACGCAAACAAAACTCCACATTCGTATTCCCAAGGGATGTTCTACATCAGGACATGACTGGACTCTCAATTGCCCTTGTAAAGCCACCCATTCATGTCTCCATGTATCCCACAAAGGCAAGCCCTTTGGCCCCCATGTTTGTCCCCAGTTTGTTGCCCCTGATCCCATGGAACCTACACAGTACATGTAGAGCTAGTCCCCCCGCTTCCCTTGTTGCACGTACAAACCAGGGTTCGCTAACCTGATAGATTTGAGGAATAGGTTACTAACCTATACACTAACCTGGTAGAAAATTGCACTAGGTTAGTGTATAGGTTACTAACATGATAGAATTTTTGTAGTAGGTTAGTGTATAGGTTAGTGTCAGGTATTTATCAGGTAACCTGTAGGTTACCTGATAAAGTAACCTGGTATTGTCATAGTAAGTTTGTTTGTTAGTTTGTTAGTTAGATAGGTAATAGGTATTGCCATTGAGTTGCTAGGTAACAGAGATAGCTACCCTTGACGAGTGAAAGGTGTGAGACTTCCATCGTATTGCCACGCAATGCCACGCCATGCCTAATCGTCACCATCCAACAAACCCAGGTCCTCAAGCATATCTTCCATGTCACTCGTAATCTCATCTGACTTCATATCCGCAGTAGTGTTGCTCAATAGCATTTTGATCTTTTCCTTTGCCTTATCCAGATAGCCCTCCTTCAAGTACTAGCAGTACTTCCGCAAGAACTCGGCATTCTTGTAGACGAGAACCTTCATTTGGAAGGTGACATCACCTTGCAGAGCATTGGGGATTCCGTCCATCCAAGTCGCCGCACTAAAGGTTCGTTCTTGGAATCCATTGCTGTCGAGAAGGGCAAGGATGCAACAGGCCACGGCATAAATCAAGGGATAGGTAATCTTCCCTTCCCGCTCCCACCAGTCCATGATATCAAAGTGTTGGACGATCTTCTCCACATTTTCAAGCCAACAGATCTTGTTTGTTCCGAGCCGATCAAGAACATCCTGGGGGACGGGACGAGACTTCTGTAGTTTGAGAGCAGTAGTGAGATGAAAGTCTTGTGAGAACCATGCCTCTACCTCTCGCTCCACTCGATCCCCAAGAGCTGCCTGGACTGGAACTTGTTCTTCGTTCCTTTGTTTCTTCCTTCTCAATTTCTCGAAGTCACTGACCGTGGGGTCGTCGTCGTAGTATTCCACAAAGGTAGCCCGGGCCACCATTTCAGGATCCTTGAGTAGCTCACTGCAGATCTCTCGTACTTCCTTCATTAGGATATCTTTGACGAGCTTCTTTAGATCGGATGTCAGAGGCTTGTACTTAGCAAAGAGAGGAATGAAACGGCGACGGGTAACCGGATAGAGTAACCGGACACTAACCGATGCACGAACCGGATAGAAAATTGTATTAGGTTAGTGTGTCGGTTACTAACCTGGTAGAAATTTTTTACCAGGTTAGTGTAAAGGTTACTCTATCCGGTTCCGGTTACCGGTTCTTTCGCAAGTAACCGGTAACCTAATATATCAGGTTAGCGAACCCTGGTACAAACCAAAACTAGAGTAAAATGCGATTTACGACCGACCTTTCCCCGGATTATTCTCTTAAGAGGTGGATCTCGAATATTGTACTTCTAAGTAACTGAATCGAAAGGGCACATGTTGTTGAGTATCCCATTAAATTCCCAAGATCAGAGTGTACTTATTGGTGGAGTTATGGTTGATTGAAAATATCCTCACTTTTGTGACGAATTCTTTTTCTCGGCAGTTTAAGACTTTACAGTACTTAACTGCGTAGGATCCTACATAGGAGAGTCCTGTAAGATCCTACGGAACACTTAGGAAGCACCTCAATTGCTCTGGTACCGAAGCTACGTAGGATCCTACGTAAGAACCTCTATTAATTACATGGTCTTAATCTTCACCCGGTCTTAAAATGACTTTTACTCTAACTGCTCTCGGTGGGTTGATGGGTTACTCGGTACCGGTATGGTTAGTTACATGTAGTTAGTTCTGAGTGATGTTTGCAAAGGGACTGAAGTCAATCCCGACTGTATCACTAGTACGATATTTCGCGACCCATCTATCTTTCGATGAAGATCCTTGCAATGGCTCTGCCTGTCGTGAATTCACACAGGACACGCCACAAACACAGGCCAAACTTGGGTCCATCATTATCCATCCAAAGACTCACTCCTCCGCAGTACAAGACAAGCACCATGGCAAACGTACACGGCCTCTTCAGCGGCGACGACAATAAGGAAGACGAGGAAGAAGATAACACCAACAACCGCTATGTGGGTGGCATAGGTGCCCGAGGAGGGGGAAGGTACGAATTGCTCAAGATGTGATTATTTGCTGTTTTCAGTCCTGTCTGTAGTGTTGTTTTATCGATCGGCATTGGCATTGGCTCTTCTTCTTTGTGCCGGTATGGTAAACTCACTCGCTCTGGTTACCTTTTGCACACTAAACTCTGCTGCTTTGACTTACTGACTATGGAAACGGATGATTATTTTTGCTTTGTTAGCGGGTTGGCCGTGGAACCCAACCATGACGAAGAAGCCGATCCTCGTGATTCGGTCTTTTCGCAGGCAGAAAATGTCGGACCGGGTGGAGCAGGAGAGGAAGTGCGTCGGACCATCACCATGTACCGCAACGGTTTCATTGTCGACGACGGTCCATATCGCCGTTTGGACGATCCGGCCAATGCCGAATTTCTGCGTTCGCTAGCACAAGGCGTGACGCCTCGTGAATTGTTGAGCGAAGGAGACGTCACCGTCGGTCTCATTGACAAACGCAGCGAAGAGTACATTGAAAAATTCCAGTCCTTTTCGGGAGCGGGTGCTAGTTTGGGAACCAAAACGACCGGGGAAGAAGGCGGCAGTGACACGGTAGATCCAGCAACACTTCCGCCACAACCACCCGCCGTGGATGCCAGTCAACCCACGACGTCCATTCAGGTGCGATTGCCCAATGGAAAACGCAAAGTCGTCAAAATCAATCTGTCTTCCTCGGTCACGGATCTCGCCGCTCATTTGCGGGATGTGGCATCGGGACGATTCCGACTCTTGGCTGGATTCCCGCCGGCACCCATTACGGATTTGACCCAATCTGTGGAGGCAGCTGGACTCAAGGGAGCTTCTGTGTCCATGCAAGCGGCATAGATCGACAATACAAAAGAAAATATTCAACAAACAAGAGAAAATAATATTCAGAAATTCTTGCGCACAGACCAAATCCGTTGTGTGGAAAAAAGTGTGTGCCAAGAACAACACGCCCCAATGATCGCACGGTGACTAAAACAATACACAAATTCGAAGCAAGACGATTGTCCGCTTAGTCAAACGTAAAAAAGATCAAACCATATTCCATAAACTATCTAGATGCTCGGATCTATCTCCTGCCCATGATTATTGTCCAGAGTTTTTTCATCACTCTTTTTCGTTGGGCTTTGAAGGAAACCCACAGTTGTCTGGAAATACTGGTACAGTATCCCTCAAGGAGTTTGTCAGATGAATGGCACCTGTGTTGGCGTTGCCTTGGATCCCCGTGACCAAGTTGGTGGCTTGTCATGGACTGTACTGGTACCGTACCAATGCGCCATGTGGTTGTTCTTGCGTATTCGAGGATGCTGGCAAAATCTGAGTAAGTCATCATCGTTGATTGTCTCGATTGGGCGGCAAACAATAGCGCTAGCTTGGCTTGGCTCTTGCATTGTTTTATTTGCGGCAAGAACGTTTTGCCCACATGGATTGTTTGTGTCTGGTTTACGATTGAAAAACACCTCAGTTAGAATAAGCCGCCATTTGGAAGGACAAAAGTGCTAAGGTTTGCTATTAAATCTATCATTCCAAGCCCCTACCAGATAGATTACAATCAATCCCAGCATCTCCCTCCGATTCTAGCTAGCTGGCGTCCCTGGGTGGTCAACTATATCTCCCGAGCCCACTCAGAATTCCTCCAACATAATCAGTTCTTGTCCGTCCTCGCCGCTGGCAAAGGTGTCGCGCGTCATGATAGAAGGAGTCGATTCTTCCTCCGTGTCGTCCCGTCGCTCCGGTTTTCCATACTGGTACATCGGCAACATTGACCTGAATGTTTCTGGCCAGAAGGCACTGCCTTCTTTGCTCTGATAGTGAT